GGAAGACTTAACTGTCTATGGATAACCATCTTCAAGCCAGGGGTTGGTCTGCTATGATCAGATGTCAGCATGAGAGCTAAGAAGGGGGTTGAGTGCAGGGCAAGAGGCAAGTACTTTCTGAGTACCAGTATGATATCCAAATATCTCGCTAAATTCTTATCAGTGACCCAATTATAGCTTAGTCAGTCATAAATTCAACTATGCCTGCTTCAGTCCCACACCTCTTTACAAGTTTGTTTTGTACATCATATATTTATTTGATAGGTGGTCACAGACATTGGTTCAGCTGTTCAATGCTGACATTGATGATTCAGGATTATAAACATAATCATCATGTTGATGATTCAGGATTATCAATATTCCATAAATATTAATGTAGTAATAGGCACTTGTCTAGGTGCTCGGGATCTGACAGTGAAGAAACAAATTTTTTAGCGAAAGGAGACTACTGAAACAAAATTTTATATGTGTGTGTGTATATACACGTGTATTTATGTATGCACACACATGCACACAGATGCATTTCCTTAAATCTCAGATTAAGTCCCTGTTTATGCACCTATAATTGTATTATGCTCCTTGGTAACAACTACTGCAATTTCAGTAATTATTTGTGAAATATATATGTCTATATGAATATATTCAACATATACAATATATTCGTATTTAATTCATATTTAAAAGCCATGTTAAATTTCCAGTAGACTCTCCAGATGGTAACAAACAAAGTTACTCCCTTATTTAACTATGGAATAAACAAAGTTAAATAAGGGACAGTGTAAAGGCATGGGTAGCGTGTGACTATAACTGACAGACTAATCAGGGGAATTTAGAGCTATATGCTTCAGCCACAAACCTTTACATTGTCTCCTTTAAAGGGAAGCTGACAGACATTTCTGCTCTGGAGAAAAGAGGAAGGAAATGCACTGTGCTCAGAGCCAAAATGCAGTTTGTGCTGCACACCCAGGCTCTGTTCTCATTGGATCGTATTTCTAGCTTCTTCAGTTATTTTATTTGGCCTATTAACTTGAAAGCCATGTGAGTGTGGTCTTCGAAATGTAGCCTTGTTTCTGAGCAGCACTTCAGTATACACCTGGCTTTGGAATGATCTACAATCCTCTCCAACTTGTTTTCTTGATTTAAAAAACTAATCTGAGGCTCTAGCGGGAACCAATGCATGGTTGGACATTCTCCAGCCCTTAGGCACTAGAAATTTACCAGGGAAAGCTGGCAGTGCTCATCTGTTTCTGAGTTAGCTGTATGGTATTTTTATATGGGATTTTAAAACACAGTTTATTGATCTTCTTCCTACCTCTCTCATTAGTCTGTGGCCACCCCCATCTCTTAACTTTATTCAGGCTAATTTTCCCTTATCCTTCAGGTCACAACATAATGGTAATTTCCTTAAGAAAGAATTTCCCTAAGTCCAGACACAGTGGCTCACACTTGTAATCCCAGAATTTTGAGAGCCTGAAGAAGGAGAATCATTTGAGCCCAAGAGTTTGAGACCAGCCTGAGCAACACAGCAACAAGATCCCAGCTCTACAAAAAATTTAAAAATTAGCCAGGCATAGGGCCAGGTGTGGTGGCTCATGCCTGTAATCCCAGCACGTTGGGAGGCCAAGGCAGGCAGATTGCTTGAGCTCAGGAGTTTGAGATCAGCCTGGGCAACATGGCAAACCCCATCTCTACAAAAGACATACAAAAAATGCCTGTGGTCCCAGTTACATGGGAGGCTGAGGTGGAAGGATGGCTTGAGCCCGGGAGGTAGAGGTCGCAGTCAGCTGAGTTTGTGCCACTGTACCCCAGCCTGGGTGATACAGCCAGACCCTGTCTCAAAAACAACAACAACAATTAGCCAGGCATGGTGATGTACACCTGTAGTCCCAGCCATTTGGGAGACTGAGGCAAGAGGCTTACCTGAGCCCAGGAGTTCGAGGCTGCAGTAAGCTATGATCATGCCACTGCACTGCAGCCTAGGTGACAGAGTGAGATCCTGTCTCGAAAGAAAGAAAAAAGAAAAAAACAAATTTCCTTAAAATGTAGACTAAGTTAAATTCCTGTTTATGCTCCTTTAATCTCTTCCCATTGCCCTCCTTGGGAATGACGACCACATTTTCAGTACTTGTGTAATTCCTTATTTAAGAGCTATCTCTCTCAGTAGACAGTAAGCTCCATGAGGGCAGGGGCCATGTCTGTCTTGCTCAGGTCTTTATCTCAGTGCCTCACCATGTCCATCACACAGTATCCCTCGATAATATTCAGCCAATTAATAAATATCTTCAGTCTCCAAATGAATAACACAGTCTTCAGAAGAATAAGTAGGGTGGTGGGCGCTGTGATGTGAAGCTTGCACAGATTCCTCTCAGGACTGAGTTCTGTCCCCTTCCTGATGCTCAGAGTGCTGCTAGTAGACACCCTCAGTTGTCAGCCTTCTTCTGGGGAATGCCTCCGTGGAAGAAATGGACAGCCCCAGAATCATGTGCCATTTCAAGGACAGTTTGTATTCAATGACTAATCAGTGCTGGGCTTTAAGGCCCAGCCCCTCATACCAACTTGAGACACTTTGACAAGGCCATTCCAGCTCCAGAGCTCCCTTTGGGAGCCTCTATTGGGATGGCATCACAGATCAACTTCTTCCTCTGCTCTGCTTCTTCCACATCCCCTTCACAGAGGTTTATTCCAAAAACACTCCCTAATCAATGCCTTATACCTTAATCTCGGCCTCAGAGTTTACCACCAGGATAACCGAACCTGTGATGAATACTACAGAAATGTTTACAAACTGGATATATTTTGTCCTACTCCATAAACTCCTAAACAGTAAAGATCACTTATTTATCGTTGCATCCTTACAGCGACTAGAAGGTATCTTCCATATAGCGGACATCAGAAATGCATCAAAGGAAATATTCTCCCTAAACTTAGTCTAGATTGAGCTAAATTCTTCTGATTCAAAGTCTGGAAAGTGCCCCTATTGAAAGGGGCACTGGCATCCCCTGCGTATTTTGTCTAAAATACAAAATCTCAAGACCCAACCTGATTTAGAACTACTGAATCCAAATCTGCATTTTATCAGATGGCTCACGCGTACATCAATGTTTGAGAAATGCCGAGCTAAGGGATTTCTTTCTTTTTTCTTTCTCTTTTAGAAATGCTTGTGATTTCTGCACATTGATTTTGTATCCTGAGACTTTGCTGAAGTTGCTTATCAGTTTAAGATTTTGGGCTGAGATGATAGGGTCTTCTAAACATACAATCATGACCTGGCTGATAATCCCTCTAGTTTATATAATGTCTTTATAAAAGTTTTCCCTCTTTAAAATTTTCCTTAACACTAGTAATCATGCACTCTTTCACTCAACAAATACTAATTCAGTGCCAAGTAAAGATGTCAGCTCTACGGACACTTTAGAAGGAGAAGAAAAAAATATAGTGTGCAGCAAGGTGAAAGGTGCCAGGAAAAAAACAGTAGGCTGAGGTAAGGAGGAGGAGAGGGTGAGTTGCGATTTAAAATTTTTAGTCAGGATACTCAGCTGGTGAGATCACTAGACATAACCGTATTTGAGCACAGGCGCTGAATGACTTAGCAACATGGCTGCAGTGGCATGGGAGAGATGCAAAATAACAAAGTCAGGGAGGTAAGAGAGCAGACTTCTTCATGTGAGGCTGCCTAATAAACTGTGATTTGACACTGAATTGCTGAGAAGGTAATGCAAGTAGTTTTTTTCTCCAAGAACAAAGCAGTTCTTGGCCAAGCCGATTTGATTTAGGCCGTAGGAATCTGCACCAACCATGTCACTGGCTAGGCCTTAGATTCCCCAAATGAAAAGGCAGGGATTGGAAATGGCCTTTGAAGCCGCTTTCTCTTTTAAAAATGTCCGGCTCTAAGACACATATGTGAAGTCTAAGACGGTAAAACAAAGACTGTGGTTCGGCTGTGGCCTGATACAAACTTTCGCAACCCCAAGATACTGAAAAAAACTGGAAGAATTGCGGAATGGGGTGCCAGGCTGAAAGGTCTTAACCTTTCCACTCCATTCCTCCCACACCGAGAAACCCAAGTCCGGACAGCTGGGCGCCTTGCTCTCTGCGAGGTGCAGCGCCCGAGCCCGCCTCCCGCAGCTTCCCGGACCTCGCCCCGCCCCGCCCCCGCCCCCGCCCCCGCCCCCGCCTCCGCCCCGGTCCCGCCCCGGTCCCGCCTCCCGCGTCCGGCGGCCTAGACCCGGCTGCGGAAGTGACGCTAGGCCGAGGCTGGAGGGCCTCGCCGGGCCCGCCGTCGCTCCGGGTGGGACCCGGCGTCCGTCGGTAGCAGCATGGCTCTTCTCGTTCTCCTGACCCTTGCCATGCAGGGTGTGAGCAGGGCTGAGATGGGCACCGCGGATCCAGGGCCGTCCTCAGGTACCATCGCTGGCGGCGGGGCTGCGGCCGGGTCGGGACGGGAGGGACGGCGGGATCCGCCCCAGTCGGGAAGCCCCGCCCCGGCTCTCCGCGCTCGCCCTCGCCCGGGACCCCCCGCGTCGGTCCTGAGCTGGTGGCTGGGACGCGAGGCGGGATCGCGGGACCGGGTCCCCGTGGCTTGCACTCGTCGGTGACCTTTCTCCTGCCTCTCCCCTGGCTGCCGCCACCACCACAAATCACGGCTCTTGTTTTTGCGGCTCTTGTGATCCACTTTTAAATACGATTGTGCGCTGCAGAAGGATGTTGCCGGTCTACGCGGGCCGGCGTGGTCTCCTAAGATGATCCTACCGTCTTCTTGCTGTACCGTTTCGCTGTTTAGATACGCAGATACTCACTAGCGTGCTGCAGTTAGTTACCTGCAGTGTTCGGTGCAGTAGTAACAGGTTGTACAGGTTCGTGGCCTCAGAGTCCTAGGCCGTGTCGTCTGGGTTTGTGTAAGTGCACTACTGCCCGAAGGAATTGCCTAAGGGGCCATTTCTCCATTTCTCAGAACGGATCTCCGTCGTTAAGTGACGCATGACAGTGAGCGTCGTGGTCAGCAGTGACTTCGCGCTCTCCGTTCGTGGCTTAAGCAGTTGATACTTAGCGTAGAAGTGTATCCATTCCATCGCCAGCTGAGAAGTAAGTGGCAGGAACTTGTTTGTCTTAAACGTCTCAGTCGCGAAGTGGTGGATTACGAGCACTCACTAGTAGGTTTGTCTCGCAGGAGGACTTCGTAGAGATTTGTTCTTCGGAGCGTTTTATTTCCACCTGCTTATTGACATTCTCTAGGAAACATGTGGAGGATGGCTTTTCTGAAACGCAGAGTAATTGTGATTAGGAGCTCCAGTGAAATCAGTAAACCTTTTCCATTAAGTTTTTTATTATATCATGATTCATGATTCATACGAACTTTGAAAGGTCCACGTTTTGCTTCTGTTTTCACAACAGTCCTCTAGAGTAGGTGTGATTTGTTTCTCTCATTATGGATGAGAAATTGGGTTACGGAGAAGTCTGCCCAACTGGCAGAGAGGTCATGGCCACTCAGCGGGGAGCTGCTCAATTTGGCACCAGAGTCCAAGTTCTTAACTGCTCTGCCAGGATCAAGTCAGTTATCTATACGGGCAATTGCTGTACTTTGCGGTAAGAGCTTGAACTTAGGAAAGCAAGGTGGGGTGCTTGTCTCTTCCAGGGAAGTCAGTGAAGACTTCACAAAGGCGACTCCAGGAACCAGAGGTGCAGAGACTGAGGTGCAGAGGTGTGATAGAGTATGTTAAATTCGTGGAATATTAAGCGTTTTATTGTAAACTGTGTGAGGGAGAGGTTACAAGGGGAGATAGGTTAGGTGGAGAGGCAGGAACCGAATAATGAATTGCCATTTATGTGTACCAGCAAGAAACCTAGCTTTACTAACAACTTAAGCAAAAGAGGAATTTATTGTTTCAGAGTAGCTAGAGTTAAACAGAAAATTAGAGATGCCAGCTGCGTCTCAAGAAGCTAGAAGCCAGGAACCCCCTGCTAGGACTCTCCATTTCTTATTTCTAACTATTTCTAACTGTCTGGATATTGACTGCTTTCCACATTTGGCAGGAATCATAGATGCTGACAGCTTCTGGACTTTGACATCTTGCTGCCTCCCCCAGGGAAAAGCTCAGATTTGCTCACCTAGGTTAAGGTGTCAGCTTGCATAGGAAGGACATTCTCATAGAGGGTGGGGTTAGGGAGTTACCAGAAGAAGCAAAACAGTGTGCCTGGAAGCAGCACAGGTGTTGAGCCAACAAAATAATACACCCACTCTGCCTCCCAGAAGTCAGTCATTACTAATGCTGACATCACTGGATTATCTTACAAAGGGAAATGATTTTATGCAGGATCGATACGCCATTTAGAAAGACCAGTCATCTTATTAAATAGTTTTAGGGTAGACACAAGGCCCATTAGGAGTCTGCTGCTTACGTTGGAGTCAATTAGAAGTAGTTTAAATGGAGAAGAGAACATTTAGAAGGAACATTTAGAAGGAAGAGTCAGTAGGCCTCTGACTGGATGTCAGCAGAGAAGGAGATCATGCTAGCTCAGGCATAGTGTTACAGCAAGTACCAGGCTCTTCCTTCTGAGTACAGGGCCCTCCTGAGCATGTGACCCCTGTGAGTGCACAATTTGCACATCCCTGTAGCCTGCCCTGGGAGGAGGATTGCCTGTCTGCCTCCCATGAGAAGATCAACTGCGGCCTTCCATATTCTGCAGAAACTTTAAAATTTGTCTCTGCACCTCTGGCTCTAAAACTGGGGTCACGTTTGTGAAGCCTTTACTGACTCCCCTAGAAGAGATAAGCACCCCTGCCTTGCTTTCCATTCATTTCAGGGAGCCCTCTTTTTAAAGCGCATTTCTAACACATTTCTCTAGATTTTTCAGTGCATTTCTCTAGATGGTATTGTGCCCCCTGTTCTCTTAAAGTTAATTTAAAACACAAAATCTCAAAATAATCCCACAATGCTGTGGCTCTTGCTTAGCTTCCCAGCTTTATTCTTACTGTTGCTAAGCTTGACTATATAGTCGAAGTTAGTCTTAGGTGAGAGGACCTGGTAAGAACAGGGACGCAGACAAGAGAATATGGTGATGCAGTCAGTCTCCAGGAAGTCCAAGTGTTTAGGAATGTATTGTTTTACATTCATGGGCTTTCATTGATATTTAAGTGAAAATAAAATCTGTGTGTGCCACTTAATAATCAGTAGTATTTCATTCTTCATGCACTTTTACACTTAAAAGTAGTATATATATTTTTAAGTGAATCAGAGTAAACCGGCTTTCTTCATCCAGTTTGGTGTCCCACGCTGAGGAATAGCTGCAGAGCCAGACTGGACTTTACACCAACTGGAAGGCTCTTCACTGACCTTATACAGTTTATCAGCTATGCTTCCTACTAATTATCTGACTTTAGTATCCTAATGCTCTGGGTACTGTTTAAATTTTTCATTTTTTTTTTTTTGATTCCGTAGTTATTTCAAAGATTCAAAATAAACAGGATAATATATTTTAATTATATTTATTGAATGGGGTATTAAATTTTTTTTTTCATTTTATTCTGATTCGTGATTCTTACAGACTTTGAAAGGACATTTTAGTTCTATATAAAAGAAAATAGACTGGAGGCAGTGGCTCACGCCTGTAATTTTAGCACATTGGCAGAAGGATCACTTGAGCCCAGGAGTTCACGATCAGCCTGGGCAACGTGGCAAAACCCTATCTCTACAAAAAAATACAAAGATTAACCCTGTATGGTGGCATGTGCCAGTAGTTATAGCTACTGGGGAGGCTGAGATCGGAGGATCACTTGAGCCCAGGAGGTCAAGGCTGCAGTGAGCCGTGATTGCACCACTGCACTCCAGCTTGGGCAACAGAGCAAGACTTTGTCTCGTGCGCATGCGCGCGCGCGCGTGTGTGTGTGTGTGTGTGTGTGTGTGTGTGTGTGTGTAAACCTAAAGAAGAGAAAAGTAATAGTTTTAAACAGCTATCTTACAAAATTTGGTAGCGTACCAATAGTGCAGCTGCTTTACAAACTAGATGAGTAATTAATGGTTTAATTTTGATTGAACAAAGAATCAAAAATGAGGTTTGAGCCAGAATGAATTCCTAACAAAAAGGAATCGGTTTACTTGTAATTTTCTTATTAAAGGGATGTCTTTATTTTAGATTATCCTGATGCACAGTAATCAAAATACTAGGTATCTATTTTAGTCTTGTGCATTCTTAAGAAATTATTCATTTTAATACATTGTTCAACTTTTGCAGTGGCCATAATGTAATTGAGATAATATAATAAAATCAGGAAACATTACTTGAAGCAGGTGCTTGTGAAGTCACAGAAAATAATCCTCTCCAATTCCAATTTAAATGTGGAGGTTATTTACCCCTTACTTTATTAAGTGATCACAAAGAGGCTGGAAGCATTTTTCTTAATTAAAACCAAGAAATATTTGCATATTGTCAAGTCATTATATAACTTTTCTAAGGCTTTGTTTTCTCATTGGTAAAATATGTATAATAATATTGTCTCTCGCATGGAATGGATGTGATGATTACCTAAGAAAATGCATTAAAAAGGTGAGCACAGGCCGGGCGCGGTGGCTCACGCCTGTAATCCCAGCACTTTGGGAAGCCGAGGCGGGTGGATCACGAGGTCGAGAGATTGAGACCATCCTGGTCAACATGGTGAAACCCTGTCTCTACTAAAAATACAAAAAATTAGCTGGGCATGGTGGCGCATGCCTGTAATCCAAGCTACTCAGGAGGCTGAGGCAGGAGAATTGCCTGAACCCAGGAGGCGGAGGTTGTGGTGAGCCAAGACCGCGCCATTACACTCCAGCCTGGGTAACAAGAGTGAAACTCTGTCTCAAAAAAAAAAAAAAAAAAGGTGAGCACATTGTGTATCTTATACTAAATATTTAATACATTAAGGATTATCATTCAATAATATGCATCACTATTTTAACAAATATATCTTTAAATATTAAATTGCCTTAGTCATATGTGAGAAATTGTGTTGGCTTTTATAAAAACAAACATAACTAGATTAATATGAGAAATTTAAAATAGGCTCAGCAGCAAACTCATTCTTCCATCTCTTAAAATAGACAAAAATGTTTGTTTTTCATAGACCTGCACTTTTTTTTTTATTTTCTAAACTATTTCTCAATTCAGAACGAGTTAGTCCAAAAGAGAATTTGTGTTGAGAAATGATGTCTCTCAGGGACTCGATTGGTCTGGTCCAGTCAGAATTAATGCCAAGCCAAACCCAACTAGATGAAATTGGATAAATAGGAGTAAGAATAAAGGCCTAGATTTTAAGTCAGAAAAATGGCTCAGCAGCTATTTATTGGATAAGCCCCAAGTTGGTGATGGTGTGAGGGAAAAATATAGGGGAGGTTAGTTACTTACAAGTTTGTTGCAGGCCACTATGTGTTATGCTTGGCTCTTTAAAAAGAAAAATTCCGATTAGATGATTTCTGTGAACACTTGAAACATCATGTGCAAGAATTCTCAAAACATCCTTATGCAGCTTAAATCTGACGGGTGCGGCTCCTTGCTAAGGAGAAAGTTGGAAAGCATTAAGAAAAATTGCCATTTTATCAGCACTGGAAGCCATTGTGGAGTTAGACTGTAATCAAATATATCCTGACAGAAATACAAAGGCCTTGATTTGGTACTTTTCATTTATTCAGTTTGGATTTCTTATGCTGGTTCTGTTTGCCATGCAGACAAAACTTTTCTGACAGTCTCCATTCGTGTCCCTGTATCTTTAACATGGTGAAGATGTTAGATCTTTTCTGAGAGTTGTTCTTTTGGAAAAGATCCAGATCCTTTAATTGGGAACATTTGTTTTTGAGTTGTAGTGTCAGAGGACTTAGATGCAGAGCAACAGTTTTCTTCATCCTCACTTTCTTATGCTTCTCAGTATGCTCTTCCCATGGAAGAGGTTGGTGAGCAGGCTGTCCGTTGATTTCTGCAGAATCTATAGCCCTGTTGCGCCACAGGTGTACATACCTTTCATACAGTCTTTGTATACTTGTATGTTAAGATGGGTGATGAATTCTTCGGGCTGGTTTTGTGTGTGTGTGTGTGTTTTTTTTTAAGAGGCACAGATGCTTTTGGTGGTTACAGGGTGGAGCACAGATAGCTGCCCTGGTTCCTGTCACCCATCTATGCAAAGGAAATGGCCAGTGTCCTTAGACTATACTCTGCAGGTATCTATAGTTTGCCATCCACCCTACATTCACCAACACTTGTTGCGTAGCTGTCACAACGGCTATTTTTTGGTCCTTTGTGACATTCCCATCATCCCGTCGATAGCACTGCCCTATCACCTGCTGATCTTCTCTGGTCTTTTCTGTGTCTCTTTCTCTCTCTCCTTTGGTATCCTGTCGCTTCTGGCTTATCAGCTTTCTGAGGAAACAGTTGGCTTTAACCAGGGCCCTCCTTTGTTTCTGCATTGTGATTAAAGTGTTAGGAAAAATAAATTCTTCTCTCCTGTATTTGGTTTTCTTAAATTCTCAGCTGCGAGTTTTAGAGTGGTTCTGGGAATTAGATCTTAAAATAGCTAAAGTTTACTCCGGATAGTATGCAGCTGTAATACACTAAATAATTCTGAGCCTGTTTCCAAAAGCAACATGAGTTACACAAAACTGTTTATCCCGGCACTTTCAAGAGATGAAAAAATCTGTAAGATGATCTTATTTCATGAAATCACTCCAGTAGGATCTTTTCTTAAGCCCCAGAGATAATAATACTCTTTTGCTCTTTCTACATATATTTTTACCTACATAGTGTAAATGTCTTAGAAGTTTATTGTGAGCCTTAATTAATTTAATCTGAATATATAGCAATTTAAACCTCACATTACAAAATTCTGAAGCTTAAGAAAACTGCTTATGTCTGTCATATGATTTTGGCCATGACAACAAAGGCAGATGTCTAATAACCACATAGTTTCTCTTCTGGTAGCATTAAAAACCACAGGTTACATCTTTTGGTGTAAATTTATGTTTTTCCTTTAACCTAGTAGTAATTTCTTTTTGCTCTAAACCATTGAAATCTCTCCCTCCTACCACCTGTCTGTCTTGCTTTGAAAGCTATGATTTAAGTCCTAGTCTAACCATATCAGGCTTTTACTTAAATTATGGTAAACATACTTAGATTCACATTAAAAACTAATCTAATGCTGCACAAGCCTACTCTTGTTGGTAGTTTTCCATTGTGTGATTCAGTAGCCCCTTCCTAAGTACAAATGCATTTTGTTTGATATTCTAGTATGCAGATTGACTTTTACATGCCTTTTTCTCAAATACAGGCATTTCAGGTTGAGTACATACTGTTATAAAGCCATTCCTATTGGAAATAACAAAAAGAGGGGCTTAAAAGGAAGTATTTCCTTAAAAGGATTTCCAGTCTTGGAAACCAGAGGAAGGGGGGTCCTTACTACGTAGTGGCAGAAAGCTTAGTGACATTGTAGCCTTCAGTGACACCAAAAATAGAGAATGTGTCTGAGGAGTTGTGTGATGTAGCTCAGGAGGTTTCCAAGCGAAGTACTGAAAGTACCACCTAGTTTCTTCTTGCTTCTTATAGTAACATGTGAGACTTCGCTCAATCACGGGAAGAACTGTTCAAAAGAAACCAGGACCTCCTGGTTTGAAAATTCTCAGCCTCTCAAGAGGCAAAAAATGCTATAATGAAGAAATGGCCTCTGAAGGAAGGCTCAGATTAAGTATGAGTTTTCTTAGCCTCAAGTACCTCTCTTATCTGGTTGCAAAGGTATGTTTATATGTATGATTGTTATTTGATATTAATGTTGATTCATTCCAGGTGAAGAGGAGTGAATTATTTCTACCTTAAGCATGGATTGTAAAGTATTTGGGTTGTTTCAGGAGGTTGAGATGCAAACATGCAACATGCGATAGAAAAAGGACCCTCTTAAGCCTCAGTAACCCCTGCTGTGAATGGCCATGGGAACTCTACCAAAACCAGAGAGCCAGGGCTGCCAATGGCAAGAACAGTGCTTTTGGGTTCATCTTACAAGAAGTTGCTTAGAGAACCAGAGATGACAGGTACCAGCAGCCTTCAGTGGCGCTTCTGGAAGCAGGAGGAGAAAAACTGTAGGTGTCCAGTCACTGGCCACAAAAAGGTCAGGTTAGTAGTGTGAAGTATTTGAATCTTGAGACCCTCCCAGCTTCATAATCTCTACCTTTTGGCCCAAATTATTACACCATTTTGGTAAATGATACAGAAGTTAGTTCTTTTGGCAATAACCAAATCCAGTCCTTTGTTTGAGGGGAGCCATGAAATATGCTGGTTGACTAAAAAGCATTCTGTTGTTAAGTTAGTTTTTCTTCCTAAACTTTTTTTTTTTTTTTTTTTTTAAAAAAACACTAAAATTGTAATCATATAAAGCAGGGTTCGTCAGCCTTGGCTCTGCTGGCATTTTGGTGTATATTATTTTTTGTTGGGGAGGCTGTCCTGTGCGTTGTAGGGTATTTAGCACCCTTGGCCTCTGCCCTCTAGATGCCAGTAGTACCTCCCCCACCTACTTCCTCTCCAGGTTCTGAGAACCAAAAATGCCTGCAGACATTGATGCCTCATGTCTCCTGGGCCACAAAATCACTTCCTGCAGAGAACCACTGTGATAAAGGAAAAAATAATCAAAAAGAAAAAAGAAATGATGATCGCATTTAATTGTCCATGAGTTCATATTATTTACCTAAATAACTATTGATCCATGTTCTGCTTTGAAAACATAATATATGTGTTAAGGAATTGTAAGTTAAGGCAATATACCAGTTTGGTCTTGAATGTTGGAATTTTTGTTTCAGAGAAAATATGGTAGATTTTCCTCACTTGACAGATGAGGAAATCTGAAATAATTTTGCATTGTAGCCAAGAAAGAACCCAAGTTTATTAATGTTTGACCCAGGGAGTACTTTTCTTATTTAAGCAGTCTGCTTGATGTAAATATAAATCATTATCATCATTATTATCATCCAAGGCACTTTGAAAAAATATAAACTTCTGGCTCACAATTTTTGAGGATGCTTATAAAGTATGTTTGGAAGCCACTGTTCTTGTCCACATTGCCATTCATTTATTTGTTTTAATTATATAAGTAAATCATGTTTAATAGAGTCTTCCAGCTAGATAAGATTGAATAACCATAAATTTGAGGTTACATCGCTAACTGTATGCATTCATGTTTATCTATAAAGAAGCGAAGGGAGAAAGGAGAGGTGTGTGTGTTCAGTTTTCCCAGGGGTATTGGACAACTTTTTACACTAAACAGTGGGGAAAAATGACTACTTTTTTTTTTTCTTTTTTTAAGAGAATGGAATGCAGTGGCACAATCACAGCTCACTGCAGCCTTGACCTCCTAGGCTCAAGCGATCTTCCTCAGCCTCCCAAATAGCTGGAGCTACAGGCACAGGCTTCCTCACCCGGCTTATTTTTTAATTATTTGCAGAGACAGGGTCTCCAGCTCGTGAGCTCAAGAGATCCTCCCACCTCAGCCTCCTGAAGTGCTGGGATTACAGTTGTGAGCCACCGCACCTGACTACTTTTAATAACTAGATTTTGGTAGTGTCTGATTAGATGTTAAAATGACTTCTGTCCGTTATCTTACGTGACTCTTTCAAGTCTTACCAACAGATGTTTTCTGAAAGGTTTAAAAGAGTAACGACAAGAAGAAATGTTGGGTATGTTTTGTAAAAAGCTCTGTATGCCCCAGAGAGCAGGATGTTGATGAAACTGGAATGTGTGGCTTCTTTGTTCAATCTTTAGGTATCTAGTCCTATACTATAGAAAAAGTGTTGAAGGCGTAATAGTATTATATGTAGAACTGAGAGGTTGGTGGTATTCTAGAGTGAAATTGGCCATCCTTAGTGTAGCCATTTCCTCTGCAGATGATTGTATTCGTCTGTTTTCATTCTGCTGATAAAGACATACTCAAGACTGGGAAGAAAAAGATGTTTAATTGGACTTACAGTTCCACTTGGCTAGGGAGGCCTCAGAATCATGGCAAGGGCAAAGGGCACTTCTTACATGACAGTAGCAAGAGAAAAATGAGGAAGAAGCAAAAGCAGAAACCCCTGATAAACCCATCAGATCTCGTGAGACTTATTCACTATCACAAGACTTGCACGGAAAAGACCAGCCCCCATGATTCAGTTACCTCCCCCTGCATCCCTCCCACAACACATGGGAATTCTGGGAGATACAATTCAAGTTGAGCTTTGAGTGGGAACACAAAACCAAACCATATCATGCCGTCCCTGGCCCTTCCAAATCTCATGTCCTCACATTTCAAAACCAATCATGGCTTTCCAACAGTCCCCCAAAGTCTTATTTCAGCATTAACCCAAAAGTCCACAGTCCAGAGTCTCAGCCGAGACAAGGCAAGTTCCCTCTGCCTATGAGCCTGTAAAAGCAAAAGCAAGCTGGTTAACTCCTAGATACAATAGGGGTACAGCTATTGGGTAAAACACAGCCATTCTAAATGGGAGAAATTGGCCAAAACAAAGGTGTTATAGGGCCCATGCAAATCCAAAATCCAGTGGGGCAGTCAGATCTTAAAGTTTCAAAGTGATCTCCTTTGACTCCAAGTCTCACATCCAGGTTATACAGATAGAAGAGGTGGGTGCCCATGATCTTGGGCAGCTCTGCCCCTGTGGCTTTGCAGGGTACAGCTGCCCTCTCAGCTGCTTTGATGGGCTTCTGTTGAATATCTGTGGCTTCTCCAGGAAAGCTGTCAGTGGATCTCTGATTCTGGAGTCTGAAGGATGGTGGCCCTCTTCTCACAGCTCCACTAGGCAGTGCTGCAGTGGGTACTCTGTGTGGGAGCTCCAACCCCACATTTCCCTTCCATACTGGCCTAGCAGAGGGTCTCCGTGAGGGCCCTGCCCCTGCAGTAAACTTTTGCCTGGGCATCCAGGTGTTTCCACACCTCATCTGAAATCTAAGCAGAGGTTTCCAAACCCCAGTTCCTGACTTCTGTGTACCCACAGGCTCAACACCACATGGAAACTGCCAATGCTTGGGGCTTCCACCCTCAGAAGCCACAGCTGGAGCAGCTGGGCCACAGGATACCAAGTCCCTAGGCTGCACACAGCCCGGGGACCCTGGGCTTGGCCCAGGAAACCACTTTTTCCTCCTAGGCCTCTGGGCTTGTGATGGGAGGGGCTGCCATGAAGGTCTTTGACATGGCCTGGAGACATTTTCTCCATGGCCTTGGGAATTGACATTAGGCTCCTTGCTACTTATGTACACTTCTGCAGCCAGCTTGAATTTCTCCCCAGAAAATGTGTTTTTCTTTTCTAATTCATAGTCTGGCTGCAAATTTTCCATTATGCTCTGCTTCCTCTATAAAACTGAATGCCGTTAACAGCACCAAAGTCACCTCTTGAATGCTTTGCTGCTTAGTAATTTCTTCCACCAGATACCCTAAATCATCTCTCTCAAGTTCAGTGTTCCACAAATCTCTAGGGCAGGGGCAAAATTCCACCAGTCTCTTTGCTAAAACATAACAAGAGTCACGTTTGTCCCAGTTCCTAACAGGTTCCTAATCTCCATCTGATACCACCTCAGCCTGGATTTCATTGTCCACATCACTATCAACATTTTGTATAAAGCCATTCAAGAAGTCTCGAGGAAGTTCCAAACTTTCTCACATTTTTCTGTGTTCTTCTGAGCCCTCCAAACTGTTCCAGTCTCTGCCTGTTACCCCATTCCAAAGTTGCTTTTCATTTTCAGATATCTTTTTAGCAACACCCCACTCTCCTGGTACAATTTATTTTATTAGTCTGTTTTCACGCTGCTGATAAAGACATACCCAAGACTGGGAAGAAAAAGATGTGTAATCGTGCTTACAGTTCCACGTGGTTGGGGAGGCTTCAGAATCATGTTGGGAGACTAAAGGCACTTCTCACATGGCAGCGGCAAGAGAAAATGAGGAAGAAGCAAAGTGGAAACCTCAATAAACCCATCAGCTCTCGTGAGACTTATTCACTATCACGAGAATAGGACAGGAAAGACCAGCCCTTGGTTCAATTACCTCCCCCTGGGTCCATCCCACAACACACGGGAATTGTGAGAGATACAGTTCAAGTTGAGATTTGGTTGAGGACACAGCCAAACCATGTTAATGTTGAATACAATCTGTATTATCAAATATTGAAAATTCTAGTGATGAAATGAATTGAGGATTATTGTTACAGTAGTCAGTGTGTTTGATCATAAAATTTCTATTATGGGAACGTATTGTTTCATGCTGTATTTGTGTTTCCTTTATATTGCAATAATATTTCCATAATTTAAAATGAATCAGAACTCTTCTATAGATTTTTCAATAAAATTAATTTCTAGATAACTATTTTTGATTTAAATAATCTTGATATCCTGGTGAATTCTACTGTTCTTCAAATATGCATATCTGATTAATGTGGCCTCTTATAGTAAGGTTTTCCAATGTGAATGTAACTTGCTTACAATTGTCCATTTTACTTTTTGAATCTCTTACAGTACCTATACCAACTAATGTTACAATTGAGTCCTATAACATGAAACCTGTCGTGTATTGGGAGTACCAGATCATGCCACAGGTTCCTGTTTTTACCGTAGAGGTAAAGACCTATGGGTGAGTGTCACTCTTTTATTTATCCATTTTATTCCATTTTTGTCTAGGTCCCTGCAAGTTCGACAACAGTCTGTGTTACTGTTTTATCATCCTTCCCACATGGCAAAACATCCTGAACTGCTGGTAGATGTCCAAAAGTGCTGAAGATGCAAATTCTTTGCAAAATATTTCTTGCCTCTTACTTCCTCTTCCTATCAGTGTTGAAGTAGAGAAATATCACTACTTCTGAGATTAGCGTGACAAATAAAGCTAAGAGTTACCATGTCATCTTCCTATAGGGTATGTACTTTTTAATAGAACAATATACATTTCAAAAAAAAAATTGACAACTGTTAGTTTTTGTAATGTGCTTAATCCCATAATTAACGTGTATACTGAGGGAATCCAGAGTTATTTAAAAAGTATTGGTAGTACTTCTAACTAAAGAGTAAGGGCTTCCTACTTTCTCTAGTGTCTCCATCCTATTCTTACTCTGCTCTTTCTACCGCTCTGTGCTGTGAATGAAAAGCAAAGCACAGACAGAAATGGTTTGAGTTTATTTGATAACAATAAAAGTTATCTTTGTGTTTTTTTATTCTTTTTAGTTACGGAGACTGGATTGTTGCCTGCACCAATATTTCTCATCGTTATTGTAAGATTTCTGACCACGTTAATGATCCATTAAATTCACTTTGGGTCAGAGTTAAAGCTAGAGTTGGACAAAAAGAATCTGCCTATGCAAAGTCAGAAGAATTTACTGTATGCCAACATGGTGAGTAGAATGTGTACACATGTAAATTTTAAAGAGGAAAATATTTATACATGTCTTCTGTATATGTTTGCTTTTATTAGCAGTCGCTGAAAATTATCACAGCAATGCTTAAGAAAGATTTGGAGGAATGTAGGGAGTCAGTACAGGTTGAGCATCCCAAGTCTGCAAACCCAGAATGCTCCAAAATCTGAAACTTTATGAATGCCAGCATGGCACTCAAAGGAAATACTCATTGGAGCATTTTGGATGTTCAGATTTGGAAAGTTCAGCTGGTACGTATAATTCAGATATTCCCGAATCCAGAAAAAGACTCAGAAACTGAAAACACTGCTGATCTCAAAGATTTCAGATAAGGGATACTCAACCTGTATGCTCCCCTTCTTTCAAGACCCACAAAAAAGGGCTAACACTTGGCAATCGCTTTGCTGCTTCTAAGCCAAATATATGACATTTCATGTTTCTTACAGATAAGGGTCTGTGCTGCTCAGCTGTCCTCTCCGCCACCCTTTCCCTTCCCATCTTTTGTCATTCATTTCTAAGTTATATTCACTGAGGACTTTGGCAGCTAACTCTTATTCTTTTTTTTTTTTTTTTTTTTTTTTTTGAGATGGAGTTTCGCTCTTGTTACCCAGGCTGGAGTGCAATGGCATGATCTCGGCTAACGGCAACCTCCGCCTCCTGGGTTCAGGCAATTCTCCTGCCTCAGCCTCCTGGGTAGCTGGGACTACAGGCTACGCCACTATGCCCAGCTAATTCTTTGTGTTTTTAGTAGAGACGGGGTTTCACCATGTTGACCAGGATGGTCTCGATCTCTTGACCTCGTGATCCACCTGCCTAGGCCTCCCAAAGTGCTGGGATTATAGGTGTGAGCCACCGCGCCCGGCCTCAGCCACCGTGATTTTTAGGTCTTCACTCTACCAGCATCCCACTCACATAGTGCACCTGATGTCTGCTGTCACCTCAAACTCCAGAATCTTTAGTGCCAGTTCCTATTTTCTGACTTTGACATCCTACCTTAGCTCTCAGACCCTCACTCCTGGGTAAAAGAAACCTTTAGTCACTTGACTCCTTCCTGGTCTTGTAGCTCTTGGGTACCTTCTCTTCTAGCTTCACTTCCTTGCTCTGCTGCTGCCTTTCAGATTGTGCCTCCTTGATCTCTTCTACAGGCTCTTCCTCTCCTTTGTCTTTAAATACTTTTCTTCCCCAGAGTCCACACTTTTGTCATCTGATTACCACACCACCTGCATGTTAAGATTTTTTTTCCATACAGATTTATCAAGGGCCTACTATGTGCCAGAAAGTATACTGGGCCCTGAGAATATGTTGATGTGTAAAAACAGACCTGCCTGACACACAGTAAATATGTCAAGACTAGATAAGTGGTTCACCAACAAACTCAAACGTCAAAGACCTAATAAAGATGTATTGAATAAGTTCTGATTTTTCACAGTGAAAAGAGTTTTGGCGGGGGATGATAACGAATGCCATTTCTGAAATGTTTTTTAGAAACTGGGGTCCTTAATCCACAAAAGCAAAGATAAAGGAAAAATTACTTAATAGAGTTTATATTATGTGAAGTCTTTTTTTAACCAAAATCTATAATTATTTGTGTTTACAACTAGAAATGAAGTTAAACTGCTAAAGAGGCAGTTTAGATTAAACAACAGTACTTCTTGCCTGAGATTTATGAAACATTTGTTTGTTAAGGATGCTTAGTCTATCTTCTAGATACCTGTGGAGTGGTTTAAATGTGGTTCTGCTTTAGAACAACCAGAACAAAAAAAGAGTAGGTTGATTTATAGATTCTGGTAATTTTATGAAATGTACCGTGAAGTTCCAAGGCCAGGACTCATTATACTTTCTCCTCCTCCTCCTTTCCCAGGAAAAATTGAACCACCTAAACTGAGTATCAGAAAGGAAGAGAAGCAAATCACAATTGACATATTTCACCCTTCAGTTTTTGTAAATGGAGAAGAGCAGGAAGTGGATTATTATGATGAAATTACCTGTTACATTATTGTGTACAATGTCTATGTGAGAGTGAACGGAAGTGAGGTATGTGTTTCTGTTTCAGATTTTTCATAAAGGGAATTCTTGTGTAGCTAGTAAAAGTTGTTTCTTTCTGTAGTGTAATGAAAATAGAACGCTGATAAATATTCAAGCAAGACTCACAGAGCATAGATTTTGATAAGAAAAAAATATGTGGGTGCTATCAAAGGAAAAATAATCGGGAGTTAGTCACTAACACTGACCACCTGAATACATTTAAGTTTTTATTTGCTTCATTAAGTGGAATGGCCCGAATCTAGGATTTTTCCCAGTACACCTCCGTTGCTCTACCGGTTAGATGAGGATTTTCCTCCTCATTGGCGGTGATGTAAAGTAATATTAGCACTTCTGTCTCTCACCAGCTAAATTCCTGGTACTCTAGGAATAGGACAGATGAACATTTGTTAGTTTAAGAACTAACAATAAACATTCCTGCAATTTGAGTTTGTAAATTTACAGTCTTTATAAGGAATATTTGAACAGATGCATTTATCATGCTATGCTGAAGTAACAAGTTGACTTATTTGGTATCAAAGCTATTTTTAGACATGTTCAACATCAGTCATATATGTTTTCTTCAGTTGTTGGTCAGGACTAATAGGGTGATTTTTTTTTTTTTTTTTTTTTTTTTTGCAGATTAAAAGAAGTTATGCATTTTCACTGTTTTCTTTTTCCATCCAGATCCCGTATAAAGTATCCACAAAGATGGAAGACGATTGCAACGAGATTCAGTGCCAGTTAACAGTTCCAGTGCCCTCACTGAATTCCCAGTACTGTGTTTCGGCAGAAGGAGTCTTAAATGTATGGGGTGTTACAACTGAAAAGTCAAAAGAAGTTTGTGTTACCATTTCCAATAGCAGCATAAAAGGTAAGTTCTTGCCATTTTTTTTCTTAATATGGAAGGAGAAGTAACTAAAATAGGCTCATGTGGAAAACAAATTTATTTGCAGCTTCAAAAGATCTGTTTTAACAATATTCAGTTCCATTAGTTCCATTCCTTAGAGAAGTTCAAGATTAAAAATAAGGCAGTTTCTCACCATTAAAAGATGTGGAACAACCAATTTGGAAAGCCATGTGATGGCCCCTTAACCCATGAAAGAAAAAAATCATAATAAGTACATAAAACTGTGCAAATGTTTACATTTCAGGATTATGGATTATAAGTCAGTTTGTTACTTCAGCATAGCAAGATGTTGTGAATCCACTAAAATGTTCTCTATGGGGATTGTAATTTAAAGACTGAAGAGCAGGAACCTTCATTGGTTACAACTGTATGGCATGAACTGGACAGAGACTTGCAATTAATATCCAAAAAAGTTTATAGATGGGTTTGAATAATGGATAATGGATCATTTTTATAACATTTTACAATAATTATTTCCATCTTTTAATGTGGGATTGGGGAGATATATATATATATATATATATATATATATATACATACACACACATACACACTAGAGCTTGAACTTGAGAACTGACTTACTCTCAGCTGTCAGTTACCTTAAAAAAGTTTGGATTTTTCTTTGCAGTTATGAAATGTAACTGTTCATTATAGATAATTTATAAAGTATGAAAAGCCGGAAGAAAACAAAATAATCTGTAGTTCTATCATGCAAAAATACTCCATTATTCACAGTTTGATATTTTCTTTAGTTTTTCTACATAGACATGATCATATTGTATAGTGCATATGATTTTGTGTATTTTGTGTATTGCTTTAAGCATGTATTATAAATATTTTTTCATTTTATTTCAGATACTTCATTAATATTAATGTCTGTAGAATATTTCATTATGTAAATTATATTTTTATTTAATGTTTTATCATTTTTGAACTTTTAAGATTATAGGAGTTTTCACTATGATAAATCATACTTTGATGATTATCTTTGTGTCTATGGTGTATATATATATATTTTTTTTTCTTATTAGGTTTTTTTAGACTATATTTCATAGGTTTAAAACTTTACTAAAATTTTATGTTATGAGTATATTTTTGAAGAATGGAAATACAGGCTGCAGAGTCAGAACAAACACCTAAAATTTAATACTAATAACTTCACGCCATTACATGAAGGTTTCAAATAGGTGACTTAAAGCAGTGCAATGCATTTTATGCTAATTTTCATTATGCTATTGGAAAAATAAAACCCTTCATAATGCTCGAGCTTTGAAATAATGCAAATGCCCCAGATTTGTTTGAAGCCTGAATTCTAAACTGCACTGATGCTCTGGCCACACGGTGGCATCGCGGTGGCTCCTGAGCGGCAGCCCCAGTGCCTTGCAGCCAGCGCTTGCTCAGCCCGTGGGACTGCTAACACAGCACGAGTGTTGGTTTTGTAGTTGTTTTCTTTTTTACCATTATAATGATTTAACTTTTTTCACATCCTGTAGTAGGCGTATTAGAAGCATTCATTAACTAGTAACTTCCACAGTTAGAAAATTCGAGATAATAAAATGCCCTAAAGGATGCCAGACATTGCCACAATATGTAGAGTGTTGTTAATTTGGAAGAGAGGACTGTAGAAAAAAAAAAAACAAAAACAAAAACAAAAAAAACCTAAAGATTGTGCTGCAGAAATAAAAGCAGCATTCAAGCAAAATACACAATGGTGATTCTAGACGTATGTGCTTGGAAACAAATCTTTCCTATTTTATATTATTTATGTCTGATTTATAATTAAGAGAGCTTTATTCTTGTGCAGCATTCCTGTGTGTATGTACATCTGTGAAGCTTTATAAGTATTTGCAATTGTGAAATAAATAAATGTAATAGAAAATTCTGAGGAGTGGGGCTAACTCACTTTAAGAGCTGTAAACATTGCCAGAGCTTATTTCTAAGGAGAAATTTTTTTAAATTCTTTTTTTTCATTTTTAACTAAAAGAAATGCATAACCCTGGAAACACACTGTATGTAGGGCTGTAAGGAAATTACTGTAGAAAAGCTATTTTAACTATATTGTGTCATAGCAGAATAGTCCCAGAGAGTTCTAGAATTGCACAGCTGGAAGAATCATATTGCTGTCTAAGACAGATACCTAATTTTTTACTTAAATTTCCTAACTTCTGCTTTCTTCAGTGTTCTTTAAAACTCTAGCCATATTAACTAATGTGTAAATCTATTCAAGAATGGCACTAAGACTTTCTGATAGATAATAACAGTATTCCATCTTAATTGTAATTTGTGATTTTTGCCTTTTTTGAAGGTTCTCTTTGGATTCCGGCTGTGGCTGTTTTACTATTTCTAGTAGTTGCTGCGGTATTGATCTATTTTTATATTAAGAAGATTAATCCATTGAAGGAAAAAAGCATAATATTACCCAAGTCCTTGGTAATGTATTTAATGTTTTTATTATATACACTAAAAGGTTCACTTGAACCTTTTTTTGATAGTTTCTTAAAGTATGCTTTTAAAGTCGAATGATGATTGCAGTATGTCACCTGCCATTAATCAGTCAGTCTACCACACATCCAGAACCACATACTGTGTCTTTTGCTCTGCAGCAGTATTTTTAATTCTCAGGGCAAAAACACAGCGAGACATTTCTCTCAAAGATCTTAAAGTCTAGTGGAAAGAAAATATAATTATACAATGGATAGATAGTGTGATAGGTTCAAAGGTAAAGGTTTATACACAAGCCAGTGAAGACTTTGTCCAGCTTTGGTGGTGGGGTTAGTCGTGGTTTTTCCAGAGGCAATGTCTGAGCAGTCTTGAGTGACATACAGGAGGAGTTTATTCAGGCAGTAAGGGACAGAATGTGCCAAGGTCCAGAGCCAAAGATAACAGAATAGAATCTATTTGAATGAAATATGACAGGAATAATATCTGTGATGCTCAAAGGGCACATTAAAATTTGCTATAAAAAAAACTGTGTAAAGTGGATAAGAACTATCAACAGTTGGTGGTCAACTCACAAATGAATTGTAATATTTTATCCTTAAGCACAAAGCACCCTTGCAGTATGCTATTTTGCAGGTACTAGAAAAGGAAAAAGAAAACTTGTATATTCAGTAGTACCAGCAGTAATGGGTAAATGTGGTAAAAAAAAAATAATCTAGCCATGGTAAAAGGAAAAGCACACAGTGGGTATTCAGTGGAATAGTGCCCTAAACATGCCATTGCTTTGATGTAGTTACTCCACTCTTAAAAATGCACGATAAGGAAAGAATTTCATAAATAAAAAGATGTGCAGGATATTTAACATGTTCTATAGTTAGAAAGAACTGGAAACATTTCAACATATGCTATTAGAGAAATTATCAGTATGAAGAAATATGAGCCACTCAAAATTATAATGATGAAGGCAATGAATGAGAATATTACTTAAGTAGATGTGCTCACTTTGCAAAAATGATATGCATACATGTGGAAGGTAATTGTATTAGGGTTTTCTAGACGGACAGAACTAATGGAATATATATGTATATATATTTAAAGGGGAGTTCAGTTAGTATTAACTCACACAATCAAAGGTCCCACAATAGGCTATCTGCAGGCTGAGGAGCAAGGAGAGCCAGTCCGAGCTCCAAAACTGAAGAACTTGGAGTCTGATGTTGGAGGGCAGGAAGCATCCCACATGGAAGAAAGATGAAGGCTGGGAGGTCGGGCCAGTCTCTCCTTTCACATTTTTCTGCCTGCTTATATTCTAGCCATGCTGGCAGCTGATTAGATTGTGCCACCCATATTAAGGGTGGGTCTGCCTTTCCCAGCCCACTGACTCTAGTGTTAATCTCCTTTGGCAACACCCTAACAGACACACCCAGGATCAGTATTCTGTACACTTCAGTCCAATCAAGTTGACACGCAGTATTAACCATCATGGTAATGTACAGAAAGCAACATATATTAATAAGTTGTCAGGTGGCTTTTTAAAAATCTGAAAACCTTGTTTTTAATCTTACTGTAGTATCTTTCCTTAAAAAGAAAAGGCAACCATCTGTTCACCTGTTACCCTACATGTGCCATTTAGTGGTCCATTACCTTTAGACCTTTGTGTTTTTGAGGGTAGGCACTTAAGCTTAACAATGTTTTATCTTTAATCAATCCATCTTTCTCCCCATAGATCTCTGTGGTAAGAAGTGCCACTACAGAGACAAAACCTGAATCAAAATACATGTCACGCATTACATCATACCAGCCATTTTTCTTAGAAAAGGAGGTGGACTGTGAAGAGGCATTGTCTCCAGTTCCAGACATGCATACCGAAGACAATCCAGAAAAAGGAGAACATACAGAAGAACTTTCTAGCATAACCGAAGTGGTGACTACTGAAGAAGACATTCCTGACATGGTCCCGGGCAGCCATCTGACTCCAATAGAGAGAGAGAGTTCTTCACTTTTAAGTAGTAACCAATCTGAACCCGGCAGCGTCACTTTAAACTCATATCACTCCAGAAATTGTTCTGATGGTGAGCACTCCAGAAATGGTTGTGATACTGAATCCAGCTGTCTGGAATCTCATAGCTCCTTATCTGACTCAGAATTTCCCCCAAATAATAAAGCTCAAATAAAAACAGAAGAACAAGAGCTCATAACAGTAATAAAAGCCCCCACTTCCTTCGGTTATGATAAACCACATGTGCTGGTGGATCTACTTGTCGATGATGATGGTAAAGAGTCCTTGATTGGATATAGACCAACAAAAGATTCCAGAGAATTTTCATGAGATCAGCTAAGATGCGCCAACTTTGAAGTCTGATTTTCCTGGACAGTTTTTCTACTTTAATTTCATGAAAAGTTTATGATCTCAGATATTGTATCTTAGTTGCTATCAACCAAATGGAGTGACTTACTTTAGATAAAAGTCTAAAGAGGACGTTTGGCAGTCTCACTTTTAGCAAGACTTTTTTTTTTTTTTTTTTTTTTTTTTTTTTTTTTGGACAAAAAAAGCATTGTAACTTATGAACCTTTACATTGAGATAGCTAGCAGGATCCGGGAACAGTATCTTGTACTGCTGGTTCTTAGGTGAGCAAGTGATGTCCCAGGGACCTTTGTAGCCACTTTACTCTTTTTCTTTTCTCTGCCTTGGTATACGATTTGTTTTTGTAAGTTTTATGTATGCAGTAATTTTAAGTGCTTAATTTCAGAAGAAATTCTGCAGGCCTTTCAAAATTGGACTTAAAATCTAATTCAAACTAATAGAATTGATGAACTATGTAAATAGAAACACTTTTTTTATGAAACATTACAGTTAGAGATTTTTAAATAAAGAATTTTAAAAACTTATTTTTATATTCATTTATTCAAGCACTTAGGCAATCTCTCATAGTTAAGCAGAATATTTTTATATCCACTGCTTGTTTTCATGCATTAATGCTATAGAATTATTTGATAATTGTTCATATTTAATATTTAAAACAACACTAAAAATAATATTTTAAAATTGTCCTTATAGGTCTGTATTTCAGTGTTTAACACCCAGCGTGCAGAACACTGTTCCAAGTGGTTTGAAAAGAAAAGATTTAGCTGTAGAGCATGTGGATCGAGGAGTCCTTAGTATAAAAGTGGGGAGCAGAACCATGGAAATAGATGAAGGAACCTTGAGAATTACATGGTGTGGAAAGAAATCCCCAGTGAAAGGCAAACCAAGAGTTAATATATATGTTACACAAGGATTTCTTGGAATTACTATGAGGATAGAAATATTCAGAAATACGAATCTGTGAATTAATGGACAAAAAATTGAAATACAATTTACATGAGTAAATTAGCAAAGAAACCATATTTCTGGAAAGATTTCTGGTTTCTGGAAAGATTTCTCTTCATTTAAAAATGCAAGTTACAAATGAGATATTAGTGAGAAAAGTAGTGGTGTGGTTTGCAGTGAAACTGTTATACTCACTTATTTTGGGGGTAATGTCTTATGAATTGCTTTTTAAACTGATGTCCCAGTACATACCACATTCCACAAAAGTAAATATCCTTCAACAGACTTTGATCTCTCTTGTGGGAAAATTACCAAAAAAAAAAAAAAAAAAAATGAAACTTTACTTAAACAATGCACACATTAGAATGGGAAAAGCAAAAATGTGAAAATAATTGAAATAGCCAAGGAAGAGGTGACACTTACTGCTTCCCAAAGGATTATACCAGTGTGTACTCCCATCAAATGTGAATGAAGTACCTGTTTTTATACCCTAGCTAATTGACTTAGATCAATCTTTAATCTCGATAGTCTGTAAGTAAAATACTTTATACATTAAATGCATTTCATTTCTTTAATAAGTAAAGGAGCATGTTTTCATATATTTTCAAATTTTCGTGCCAACTCGTTCTTTGTTCATTTTTTTTATGGGCTGTTTATATATTTCTTACTGACTACCCTTTATTTGCCATGAGTTACAGATTTCTTTTATAATTTCTTGCCTTTTGAATTACCAGACAGATGTTTAAGATGTTTATAAAGTCAAATTTATTCATTTCCTTCCATTTTTAAAAAGCCCTTCCCCATTTCCCAAAAGATACACATTTTCAGCCATGTTTCCTTCTGGTCTTTGGTGGTAATTGTTTTACATTTAATTCTTTTAACCATCTAGATTTTTTTTTTTTTTTTTTTTTTTTTTCGTATAAGAACAGAGATAGGGATCCAGGTTTACTATTTGTTTTAGTTTCCTACAGCTGCCATAATAAACCACCATAAACTTGGGTGGCTTAAAACAATACAGAAATTTGTTATCTCTCAGTTCAGAGGCTAGAGGTCTGAAATCAAAGTTTCAACAGGGCCAGATTCTATCTGAAAGCTCTAGGGGCAGAGCATCCCTTCCTAGTTTCTAGTGATTGTTGCCAATCCTTGATATTCCCGGACTTAACAGCTGCATTATTCCAATTTCTGCCTCTTCTCACCTGGCACTTTTCCCTGTATGTTTCTGTGTCCAGATCTTTATACAGACCTGCACGAGTCAATTGCATTGATTAGACCCACTCTAATCCAGTATGAACCCCTCTTAACTTGATTATGTCTGTAAAGACACTGTTTCCAGTTAAGATCACATTCATAGGTACCAGGGATTAAGACTTCAATACATCTTTTTGAGGACACAGCTCATGTATTTCCCCTAACAAATTAGTGATCCCAAATACTATTTATTAAGTTATCTAACTTTTCTATGCTGATTTCAAATATCACATGCCAAATTCTCAGCACTCCTGGAGCAGTTTTATTCAGTCTTTTCCTGTCTATGTATCACACTATTTTAATACACCATGCACTGGGATATATTTTATTTTTTATTTTATTTTATTTTATTTTATTTTATTTTATTTTAGATACAGTCTCGCTTTGCCACCCATGCTGGAGTGCAGTGGCACAAACATGGCTCACTGCAGCTTCGACCTCCTGTGCTCAAGCAATCCTCCCGCCTCAGCCCCCCAGGTAGCTAGTACTGCAGGCGCCCGTGATCACGCCTGCCTAATTCTCTGTATTGTTTTATAGGGACGGGATTTTCCCACATTGCTCAAGGTGGCTTCAAACTCCTGTGCTCAAGCAGTCCGCCCACCTCAGCCTCCCAAAGTGCTGGAATTGCAGGCTATTTTGACTTTTGAGGCTTTACTGAATACTTTCAGCCAATGTTCATCGCTCAAGTTTCTAATATTTTTCAGGTGAACTATAACCTGAATTTTTTTGGCCAGTTTCCCCCCAAATTTTAAACTCCTTTGGGATTCATGTTGGCATTGTGTTGACTTTATAAAATGTTTAGGAATAACTAATATTTTCAAGGGTTGAATGTTCTGCAAGAATGGAGACTATTTCTCGCCTCAAGTCTTATATCCCTCATTAGACTTTTACTTCATACAGGTGTAGGGCATTTCTTGAACCTTAATGTTTTGTGTTGCTGATGAGAATGTCATCTCGCGTTGTGGCTCCTGAATGGCCGTCTATATGTACATGCACACAAACTTGTTACAAATTATTTTTTGTCTCGCCAACATGTAAACTGTTTTTATTTTCATGATTTTCATTTGATTGAGTTTTCCAGTATACAAATGTACTATCTACAAATGTACCCTATAAATAAGGGTAATCCTGCCTTCTCATTGCCAATATTATACTTTGCTTTTTATTCCCTTGTCCTCAAACTTTGATGAATTGGCGTAGCCTATTTCCTAAGAGTGACTGACCAAACCTAGTGACTGTGGGAAAATCACTTAGCCTCATGAGAGAGTTGGATTACACTCTACCTTTTGGCTTTTGGGTCATTGCTTCCATTTGTGTTAATTGGTAAGGGCATCATCTTTCCAACACAGTTTTGTGTCTAAACTTAACTTTTTCCCCTATATTATTTCTGGTTACCAGAAATTCCTGTTATTGAACCATTACCCATGCCAAGTTACATTCTCTTAATTTAAGGTACCGTTTATTTTGCCTGATAATATAAGTGGATGATTTAAATAATAAATGCCAACTTTGTTTGTATAGTCATTAGCTTCTTTTATGAGATGTAATACTTAATCTACCTTCCACCCCCCCGCAAATAATAATTTGTCTCTCCATTGATACGTTTACAGGGCTTTAAGGTTTAGTCACATACCTCAAGCTCTCTTTGCTCCAGTTGCTCCTCTGCTCAGGAGATAAGTGTCAGATATTTAACTGAGAGGAAAGAGTGACAGAGATAAGTTCTAACTGCCACATTTCCAGAGTATCCTTTCTACAGCTAATAATAAAATACTATAATACAACATATCTCCAAAATTAAATATTGAGCAGATATCTATCAATAAAAGGTGGATGGTGGAGACCACTCACAGACTGGCTTCTCAGATAGCCTTTTTAAGGAAAATTCATAGAACTGAACAACACAGGTATGTAGTTAGACTGGATGTCAGACCCCAGTCCTTGGGCTATGGAAAATTTATGCTGCATAACCAGAGATGTGCCAGTCCCTTTCCTGCTATAAAAAGAGGTGGGGGTCAAAGGGATCAGTAGGTACCACACTCAATTTGAGGGGCCACTGATTCATCTGAGGTGAGGCCACTTTTATTCCACTTCTGACACCATTTTGTGAACCTAAATAACAGCAAGAGTCTCGCTGAAAGATAATAGTATTTCGGAATGGGTATTGCAATGGGAAAATGTAAACTGTGTGTATTCAGGGAGATAAAGGAAGACAAAGGTTTTTAAAAGAAAAATGAGGATTACCTAATTGCTTTGAGATAATTAACCTTGACTATGTAAGCCAAAAATAAAATTGTAAACACCCCCACCCAAACCATCTGAATGGACCCCTCCTCTTGGCCAAGTGCATTCTAAAGTTAACCTAAAAACTAGTTCAGGCCATGATGGGAAGGGAGACTTGGACATAACTCATCATACCCTCCTCCCTTTTGGAATTCAGGAAAAACTGACCAGCATTAAACTTAAGTCTGATAAGGAACATTTACAATCTATTATCTCTGAAGTCTGCTACCTGGAGGCTTGATCTGCTTGATGAACTTTAGTCTCCACAACCCCTTATCATCATAACCCAGGCATTTCTATTGATTCTGGGTCTTTAGATAATTTTTTCAACCAATTGCCAGTCAGAAAATTTTTTAATCTACCTACAACCTGGAAGCCCTACTTCGATTCGTCCTTCCTTTCCACATTGAACCAGTGTGCATCTTACAGTTATTGATCAATATGTCGCCCTAAAAATATATAAAAGCAAGTTGTATCCTGACCACCTTGGGTACATGTCAGCAGGCCCTCCTGAGGCTGTGTCAGGGGCACATCCTTAACTTTGGCAAAATAACCTTTCTACATTTATTGAAAGTTTATTCATTACCATGAATTGGTAATGATGAAGGGATTCTTCTTTTTTCTTTTGAGGTGGAGTCTCGCTCTGTTGCCCAGGCTGGAGTGCAGTGGTGCAATCTTGGCTCACTGCAACCTCCACCTCTTGGGTTCAAGCAATTCTCTGCCTCAGCCTCCCAAGTAGCTGGGATTACAAGTCCCTGCCACCATGCCTGGCTAATTTTTATTTGTGTTAGTAGAGACAGGGTTTCACCATACTGGCCAGGCTGGTCATGAACTCCTGAGCACATGATCCACTCAACTTAGCCTGCCAAAGTGCTTGGATTACAGATGTGAGCCACCATGCCCAGCCTGATGAAGGGATTCTGAGTAAAGGTGCCCCTGACCTTTGATAAATCTATTGATAAATCTGTTGGTGCTTGGGACTAGCTTGAGCTATCCTTATGGCTCAAATCAAGAGGACAATTTGCTGAGGCCTGGGAACTCCCCCTCCAGGAAATCCCTGATCTCTCAAAATTTGGTTGAGATCTAAGGCTTATTTTGCCGTACAACTCCTTTTTTAGAGTTTTACTTGCCTCCAACAGGGAAAGCAAGTTTTCCTGTTTTCATGATGATGGATAGCAGTTAACTCCTTTCTAGAGTTTCAGCTAGTTTCCGACAGGGAGGGCAAGAACATTAGGTCTGTTCTTTTGCACATTTCCAGGTTTTTTTTCCCTGCTTCTAAGACGGTAAAGAGCAATCTTATGCCTGGGCTCTATTCCTAAGTAAATAGCAGAATTGGGATTTTTTTTTTTTTTTTTTGTCTTGGAAATTCTCCTTAATGACTAAAAGTTGAAATTGACAAGCAGCTGATTTTAATTTCTTCTTACCATTAGAGCACTCAGTAATCATATTGTTGGGATTTTTTGTTGTTCTGCCCTTTCTCCCACAGGATTTGATCAACTATAACAGACTTGGTCAAATTCGAATGAGAATTCCAAATTAGAAGAAACAATGCCTCTGAATTGGCTAAAATTTCTGACAGCTGCAAAAACAAAAACAAAACCTGGTGCTTGGTTTCTGTGTTCACTTCCTTTCTTAAAAAAAAAAAAAAAAAAAATATATATATATATATATATATATATATATATATATATATATATATTTTCTTTTGCTTACTTTTGTTCCGTGCTATTCTTCCTTCCCCCTTCACCACCTCTGGTACCAAGAAAAATCTAGAGGAGGGTTCTAATGACTCAGACCCCTTACAGAACTCAGAACAAAGCCGCCACTCAAACCCCCTTTTGGGATATTCTGTTTTCTTCATAGAATTTCAAGAGTCATGGGCAGATTCTTCTTAGATCTAAAGCTCTGCTTTCCTGCATTGCATACCTGATCTTTTAGGCTTTTGGGGTCACCAGAGATTACTTTGTGTTGTGAGAAGATTTGACCTTGGAGTGTGTAAGGGCAGATAATAGATACAACGTTAGGAGTGGCTGAGGACAGTTTACAGCTTATCTTAGCTGTTTTGTTTTTCCTTCTTCTCTCCAAGAAGTTGTTGTTTAAGATCCTAGTTCTAGTTCAGAAGTGCATTCCAAAGAGCTTTCGCCATTGCCTTTTCTCCCAAAATTAATCTCGATTGGCTTATCTGGTGTGTTTACGAGGGCAACTGAACTGTTGTTTTTGTAGATAAATGTCAGACTGAGAGTATCCTAAGCTCTGAAAAGAAAGGGCATTTTGCTCCTTCCCCTCAAAAGTCATCCCCGAGTGACTGAGGTGGAGCCTGATGTGTTGACAACCACCCCCATGAGATGCAGCTGCCCTACAGGAAATCCCCAGCAAAATTAGTTTAAAAAAGCTCATCCAGGATGCACATATAGGAACTCCATGTTTTGAGCCCTCGGAGGAGTAGACCTCTAGAGAGAGAAACTGAGACACGTAAGAGGGCAGCAACAATTCAGTGTGACACACTGTAGAGCCCCACCCAGAATCAGCACGTTTTGATCCACTGCACTAAACCCTAGGCCACAGCTCATTTCCTCCTTTTAGGAAAAAGTGTTGGGAAGAAATTTTCTAAGAATATGGGAAAACCAGAACGATGCCTCTCATGCATCTCCTTTGGTTTTATGGTGCCTCTACTTGCAAGTGGTTGTGTAAATGGAAGGGCACACCAAGTTTTCTAGTACTGCAGCCGATTACACATTAGGTCTGTTCTTGTGCACATTTTAAAGTGATGGGCAAATTACATCAGGGAAAATTGAGAACCTAAAGTTCAACCTGCAACTCTAAAGATCCTAAAGATCCTCTAAAGATCTCTACTTTCTTTTCCATCTGCTTTGTCTGCTATTATTAACACATTTCTACTGAGATAAAACCCACTGTTTGCATCCAACCATTTCTTTTTGTTATTGCTTTTGCAAACTAGTAAGTTTGTATTAATATCTCATGGATAAAATTTTGTAGTGAAAGCTATGTGATCTTTATATGACTGTGTGTGTGTTTATGTGTACAAACATGTATTTTTTCATGTGCTTTTGGCCAAAAGGTACTAAATTGGCTTAAAGCTGAATGGGTACTCATACATTAAATAATAAGCTCAAATGCTTTTCAAGTTCATGTGACAAATAAAATCTTTTACAAATAAGCTGGCTTTAAAATTATTGGTAAAGCAATATTAGAAATGTCTTATGAATTGTCAGCATACATTTTTGTTTGCATTTATTGATCAGCAATTTCATACTTATTCCTGCCAAATACTGTAAGGCGTCAAAATTTGGCATAAGAGTTACAAAACTAAACCCAAGCGTTATGGTTGAATCTGTATCCCTGCCAAATCTCATGTCAAATTGTAATCCCCAGTGTTGGAAGAGGAGCCTGGTGGAAAGTGATTGGATCATGGGGTACTTTCTCATGGATTTACACCATCCCCCTTGGTGTCATGGTGATAGTAAGTTCTTGTGAAATCTGATTGTTTAAAAGTGTGTGGTACCTCCCTGACAACCTTCTCTTCCTCCTTCTCTGGCCATGTACGACATGCTTGCTTCCCCCTCACCTTCCACCATGATTGTAAGTTTCCAAGCAGAAGCCACTGTGCTTCCTATACAGTCAGCAGAACCATGAGCCAGTTAAACCTCTTTTCTTTATAGATTACCCAACTTTAAGGTATTTTTTATAGCAATGTGAGAACAGACAAATACAGCAACCCAAAATAGAATGATCTTTGCTTGTGTGGTTTTTGATAAAGAAGAGATTAAATATTGTTGATTTAATAAAAACAGCTAAATTTGCAATTATTGGTAAAATAACCATATTTTTCATCTTAAGGTTCTTAGGTAAACACCTGAACTTCACAGGTTATAATAATGGTTGACAGAGAAATAACTTTAAATGATAACTACCACAGTTTTAATAAATAATCTAGGTAAAATATTAAAATAATTAGGTAAATATGAAGGAATAAATACTTGTAAACAAACATCATAATTTAGACCATAAAGTTATATTAAATTCAATAATAGTTCATTAAATATCTGAGTATTTTCTAATTTAAAAATTATATTTATTGTTTCTAAGAAATGTGTTCTTATTAAAAGGCAAATAATTTTTGTCTTGAAAATTCAAAGCTTATTTAAAGGTCATGTGTAAAACAACAAAAAGAATCAGGAAATAGAGCAATATAAAAAATTATAGATATAAAGAGATATTTTTGGTAAGAAAGCTTAAAAGAAAAGTAATTTTATATGAGAAAATTATTGTTTGGTGAAATTTTGTCCTAAGATAAAATGACTGGGTTGTTCAAGAAAGAGTGATACTTAGATCAAAGCAGAAAGTCCAAGCATGTTTTGAATGGTCTAAGTCATAATAAGGTTAATAAAGGAATTTATAAAAATGTTATATGATTAAGTTGGCTATAATTACAGAAAACTTTAATATTTAAAAAAATTGAACTTTCATGATAAAAATACACTAGATTAGGCATGGTGGCTCATGCCTGTAATCCCAGCACTTTGAGAGGCCAATCTGGCATATCATCTGAGGTCAGGAGTTCAAGACCAGCCTGGCAACATGATGAAGCCCCATGTCTACTAAAAATACAAAAACTAACTGGGTGTGGTGGCAGGTGCCTGTAATCCTGAATACTTGGGAGGCTGAGGCAGGAGAATCACTTGAACCTAAGAGGCAGAGGTTGCAGTGAGCCAAGATCGTGCCATTGCACTCCAGCCTGGGCAACAAGAGTAAGACTCTGTCTCAAAAAAAGACACACTAATACAAAACTAAAGAATGGGTTAGAACAATATTTTATTTAAAATATTGAGTTACTCTTAATGCACAAACTTTTTAATATTTAAATTCTGTAATGTTTCTTTTTTAAATTATTCAGATCGATATCTCAGTCCTTTTCTCTCTTTTGAGAAGGCCTAGTGTGGTAACTCTCCTTCAACTTCTATTTGGTATTATAACTTTTTTTTTTAAATTAATAATCTAAAGTAGGGGAGAGAATTTTTGAAAATAGGCAAATGAAAAATCTTTTGGACCTGCCTTTGTCTATATATCTGTTATATCTATATGTTTACATGTGTCATCTGGAAGTGATATTTTGCTAACAGGCTGTATGAAAGAGCTCTAATCAACTGGCTTAAAGAATGTTAATGTTATTACTTCTCGGCCTTTTGGCCAAGAACATGTATAGTATCTGTTCTTATCAGTTTAATCGACTGATACGTCCTCTACCAGAGGACCAGATATTAAATGGATTTTTGGAGCAGGGAGATGGAATAGGAGCTTACTCCGTCTTCCACGCATTGACCTGGTATTGCAGTGCTTCCAGGAACAGTGCACCCCCTTGGGGGAAAAAAGAATGTTAATGCTTATCAGACTGATAGAAGCTGACTCAGAAGCCTTTTAGCTCACATCACTAGTAATCTTTGGTAAGATTAATTTGGTGAATTTAATCTCAATTATTTTCAGTAATTTAAAATCTTAAAGTCATGTTAGGTTTAAAGGAAGTAAGCCTAGGGTTTTTTTGTTTTTTGTTTTTTGTTTTATTGTTTTTTTGTTTTTTGTTTTTTGTTTTATTGTTTTTTTGCAGGGGAACATCTGTATTTATTTGAGGCACCAAAGCAGTAGGACTCCAATGTGGGGCTGGGCTGGGTCAGGGCTGGCTAGATTTGGGGCATGGGCCTAGAATGGGGTGGAATCACCAGGAATTTGTGCCTTATGCCAGGAAGGAGCCTGGCCTCTTCAACTTGTGTGTGGTGACCTGATATTCAATTTTGTGACATGGAAAACCTCTGTGCAGGACCCCTCTTTTAGTTAAGAACTTTCCTTTTTCTTAATAAGTTCTACCTCCTCACCATTCAATGTGTCTGCATACCTAATTTTTCCTGGTTATGAGACAAGAACCCAGCATTAAGCTCAACTAAGGAGCAAAAAATCTTTCATCATTTTGGTGGCCCATATCAGGACACATGGAAGGGTGAGTAAAATGTGGTCCCAAAATATCTCTTTTTCTTTTGTTTCTGAGATTTCTTGTCCTCAGGTGTTTTCTAAGGACAAGGAAAATTGCACCCTACCATCACCCCCCACCCCCTCATTGCCCTCAGGGATCAGGAATGTTGGCCTCAGTCCAACCCAGTCTTTTGTGGCATTTTCCTTCTTTTCTGGGGAACAATAATGGCACCTATCTTTTCTTTTATCATATTGGAGGTGTCCCACGTCCACCCCAGTGGCCACAGGCACATGTGTGGGATGGATGGGCAAACAGCATCTCCCCTTCTCCCTTCCATCCTGGCTGAGGCGCAAGACTCTGTCTGCTGCCTGTGGTTTTTGTCCAACAGCCGTGCAGAGCAGGACTGAGCCACAGCTGCTGCAGAGGCTCCAGGGCGGTCTCAGGGCCCAGGCCCCACGCAGCCAACTGGCCAGTGTCCCCTGCCACATGTCCACAGAGTCTTCCCCACCCCCAGCCAAGGGGTCTAACTTGGTCCAACAGCAATTAAAAGTTTCTTTCCCTGTTGGAGAAATCCATTTGCATAAGAATAAGAGGTTTCTTACCCAGGCATCTTCTTCTTTTTTTCCACCTTGTCACCAGTTGACACAGCCCTGCATTTAAGCTGCTTTCTTTTTCTTTTGTCCACCAGATCAGGAGTTAGTAGGTTGGTGCAAAAGTAGTTGTGGTTTTTGCCATTACTTAGAATGGTGGGGACCACGATTACTTTTGCACCGACCTAATAACACAGCCCTGTGAGTAGAGGGGGCTTCTTTATGCCAGAGGTGCTTTTCCTTTTGGAAGTCATCTTATTAGACCAGGACCCTAATTCACAGAACTGCCTGCACCAAGCAGTTATTTTGTCCCAAACTCAATTCCAAGCTTCAGGCTGAAGCCCTCAGAAAGAAAAACTGGATCTGAGGGATCCAGAGACAGACAACAACAAAAACTAAAAAGCACAGCACAGGTGAGCATGACTAATTCCTGCTAATTAAGCCAAGCCTCCTGTTTCACAGATAAAGGTCATGCTAGTATCAATGGCATAAATGAGGTCTAGAGCACTTGAAAGCTACTGACAGCAGGGGTAGAGGCAGTTTGTGGGTAATAGTGGATAATTCCACCCCCTAAGCCCCCGTTAGTATGGGTGAAAGCCACATTGACGCCCATGGGTGGCATCCTGTTGAGGTTGCCAGGACTTGGGACATAAAGATGGAAGAAGAAAAAAGGATGCTTTTTCTTTCTCTCCCTCATGTACGCCAGCTATTTCCTGGAAAGTGAAAGAAACCAGGGGTGCCTAGCTCCCTGCTTTCTAGACAAGTAGCCATTCATCTTTAGTCTTTCCCCCTTTCAAATGCATCCTGAACCCCTCAGGAGCCTTCTTCTTTGTCCTGTCTTCACAAATGGGTAATTGTGTTCCCACATGAAAGGGCACTCCCCTAGGATGCATCCTCCAAACTGAGAAAAGTTAATGTCCCAAACCTTAAACTGGTTGGCTTAGAATTGAGCTCAGGCGAAGGAAATCCAGAAGCCTGACATGCCAGCAAAAGGATACGTTTTTTTAAGCAGTTAGACTTTTGGCATCTCTCTCCTTGTGCAAACTGGCAAAAAGAATGACAAGAATTAGTGTTTATATTCCCTGTAAAGTTTTGATAAGTGAAAAAGGATTTATGAGGTTGGTCTTAAGCTATAGCCAATCTGGTGTGCTTTGTGTGTCTTAATTGAGGCTTATTGGTTTCACCTGTGAGGTTGGCTCCCTGCCTCACCCAACTCAGACCACTGCTCACATGTCCCTGGCCAGTGAAGCTATTCCTCACCCCCTACCTGTGATGGTGTCTTCCCATTATTCTCTATCACTGCACCTACTGTGTCTCCATGGCGCTTAACGTCCCTAAAAAAATAGTGATGTGTCAGTTTATTATCTGCGTCCCCTTGACAGGCCCTAGGATATCAGCTCTATGAGAATAAGAACTTGTCTAATCCCTGAATATTCCCAGCACTTCATATGGTGCCTGGCACAGGACAAGTGCTCAATAAATATTTGTCAACTAAATGTATTGTCTATACAACCCTCTCGATTTCACTTATGTTTGTGTCAGTTTTACTCCTTTATTATGGTTTTACAGCTTATAAATAAATGTGTACTTATAAAAATAATATATATTTCTATATTTACTTATAAAATATAATTTATTATATTTATTTATTATAACCAATAATAATATAATTTATTTTATGTATTAGAGAGAGAGAAACATGTCTGTTTTCTGTGATTCCAGAAATTCTGAAAGCTTCTACAGAACAATTACAGAAATTTTTGCAAGCAAGAACTGACTGAAAGTCAATAAATTTATGAATAAAACCACAGGATTATAGTCAGATTGCAAAAAAACTAGATAAAATCAAAAACAAAAAGCCAGCTATAACAACTTGCCAAATTCGGTGAATTGACTTTACCTCAAAAATTCTACCTATGTTACAGCATCTGTAGAGCTGCTCATGTCCCATTATTTTAATTTCCCCTCTATAGGACTCAGAATCAGGTATGACTCCCTCCTGGGAACTATGGAGACTCCTCTCTCTCTGCACACCTTGATTCCTGCTTTCAAGTTTGGGAAACATTAAAGCAGCTATGAGTAGCCTGCAATTTAGCCATGTAACCAAAAACCACTTGCACTATTGCATAGCTATTAAAATAAAAGCTCCGGCTTTTTGGAAAGAAATGGAAGGGAGAACTAATGTTCATGAGCCTCTGCTATAGGCAGATGTTTGGCAAAGTTTCTTGCACTGGCCTTCCTAACTATCTGGTAAGGCTAGTATTCTGTTTTTTTCAAGTCAGGAAACTGAGACACAGTCTTTTCTCATACTGCTAATAAAGACATATCCGAGACTGGGTAATTTATAAAGAAAAAGAGATTTAATCGATTCACAGTTACACATGACTGGAAAGGCCTCACAATCATGGTAGAAGGTGAAGGAGGAGCAAAGGCACTTCTTACATGGTGGCAGGCAAGAGAGCATGTGCAGGGGAACTGCCCTTTATAAAATCATCAGATCTTGTGAAACGTATTCACTATCATGAGAACAGCATGGGAAAAAACCACCCCCATGATTCAGCTACCTCCCACCAGGTCCCTTTCACAATACATGAGCATTATAGGAGTTACAATGCAAGATGAGATTTGGGTAGGGACAGTCAAATGATATCACACATGAAATTTAGAAGTTGTTTTACTCTAATTTAGAAATTTAGAAGAGATATGTCTTGGGAATAGAACATAGTAGGAACTCAGAAAGCAAATAAAACATTAAGGAGGCAGGGCTTGGGCTTTGTGAATGAGGGAGGGATGCCTCAGGCTGGAACAAGTACAGCTCAGAAGCCAAGGAGTCAGCTAAGGGCTGACAGGGGAGCCCAAGGCACAGCATGGCCCTTGGGCAGGAGCCTCTGCCGGGATCTTGTTGGGCTAAGTGGGGAACATGAATGTGGAAGAAGGTTGGAATTTTTCCTATAGCTGAGGTAGAGCCCCTATTTTAAGGCATATGGGATGTTAAGAGGGTTCAGTTAAAGAGCCTAGAGACCCCAGAAATCAAATGAAGTTAGTGAGTACTCTGGATTTGTGTGGGAGCTTTAGAAGGGAATGAGAAATGGCATCCTACATGCCTTTAAGTACCAGGATGGGGACCCCATTGCAAATGGATGAAACTCGAAGAAGTACATTTTGAGAGAATTAAACTCAGGTTTCATCTTTCTCCAAAGTCCATGCTTTTCCACTGTAACCTGATGTCTCCAGTTTCCTGTATTTCAAAAAGAAACATTAGACCTTCCACTCGTCTTTGAACAATTATGTGTCATGCTTTATTTAACTTTGGCAAACCAGAAGACACATCTAGAAATAGCCTTAAGTAAAGCTGGAAATACAAAATAAGTTATTTAAGGTTGCTGCTTATATGCTACAGTAAAAAATAATAACAAGTCACAATTTTAAAATATAAAAGGTATTTTTCTAATTCTAAGGCTCATGAAGATTTTTAAATTTTGTTTAGAAGCTCAGTGTACATCTTGTTGGACTGATACACCCCTACGCCATTGTCTGGCTACATTTTATCTTTGTTCTTAAAGAGTAAATTAAACAGTGAATCTAATAATGAATGCTAATCCACCTCCCAGAAATCAGATCAATAAAAGAGGATATTTCCAAATTGAGCATGGTTACGTAAGTCAAGCATCTTTTTTCTTCTCTGGAAATCATGAAAAAGCAAAAATGAGAATTAAAGTTAAATAGCCCTTCACTTTGAAATTTTTGTTTTTTATTCTTTCCTTAAAAACTTTTGGGTTAGAAAAATAAATCTAAATTGCAGAATTGCTAAAACAAACAAACAAACAAAAAGAAAAAACAAAGAAACAGAAAAGAAAGAAAGAAAGAAAACATCACATTTTAGAGCCAATGAGGGAAATTACACATTTCAGGGAAATTACTAGTGTAAATATTGTATTGGTATAAAAGAAAGAATAAAACAAATGAAATAAATGTCTGACTCAGGAGTTTTTATTTTTTAAAAATCCAACAAATTAACAGAAAAACAAAAGGAATGAATTTTTAAAGATAAAGGAGGTAAAAATAAGACATGACTGTTTTTAAGTAGAATACGTAACTACAAAATCTGGTTCCTTGAAAAGAAATTTAAAGATAAATAACCAGCCAACTTACTAAGAAAAAAAAATAAGAAAACAAGGGGAGAAATCATTCCTCAAAACAGGAAATTATAAAAGGGGAAGCACAGAAACAGGAGAATTGAATAAATCATAAAGGAATAACTTGTACAACTCTGTACCAATAAATTTAAAGGCCTGAATAAAAAGGATGGTCTTCTAAAGAAAATGCACTTTGTAGAAACTGAACCTACATGAGATAAAAATATAAACACACTAATTACCATAGAAGAATTAGAATTAGAAAATTGTGGAAGACATACTACCCTGTATTTTCCGCCCCCAACTTCCAAAAGCACCCAGATGATTTCTCAGGGAGATCTATCCATCCTTAAGAATCAGGTAATTCCCAGGTCACACAGATTAATTTATTCAGCTGACAAGTTGACTGCAACATTGCATGATTTTGCAAATGTCAGTGTTCCCCTTGAGTGTCTGAGCTTGTGAGAATCTGACCACAGTAACCTCATGGTCCAGAGAATTTCAACCCCTTCCCCTCAGGACTCCCACTTCAGACGATAAAAAGCAAAAAGCCCCTTCTGGTTCCTTTAGCTCAAAGCTTGTAAATTCATGGCAGTTGCTCAAATCGCATTCCTTTTTGTTGATTCACTAGACCTGTGAAAAGTGCTTACTGTGTCCCCAGCCTTGTCCCAAGTTCTGGAGTTAAAACAGTGAACAAAACGCATAGCATCCCTGACGTTATGGAGCTTATATTCTAGTTGGGGAGATAGACAGCAACAATAAAATAAAACATAGACTACCAAGTGATGATAAATGTTTTGGGAAACAAGCAAATAAAGGTGCTAGGGACAGCTGAAGGGGAGAAGTGATGCTATTTTGGGTGTCATAGAATTGATAAGGTAATATTTGAACAGAGATATGAAGGAGGTGAGAGAGTGAGCCTGTATGTCTCAGGGAGAGCATCAGAGCAGAGGGGACCTTGCTAGTGTGGAGATGCGCCTGGTATGTTCGAGAAACAGCAACATACCAGGCACATCTCCACACTAGCAAGGAGGGAGGGAGCACCACGGGTTGGGAGGAGAGTTGTAGGAAACAAATTGAGAGGCAATGGGGCCTGATTATATAGGGCTGGTTATATAGTAAGGGACTGTAAAAATGTTGACTTTCAACCTGAGTGAGATGGGAAGACAATGCAGGGTTCTAAGTAAAAGGTTCTATTCTGGCATTTAATCGGAATACTCCATCCGATACAGAGGACAGTGACACAGGCAGGGGGACCAGTTAGGAGGCTGTGCACAGGCCACACGAGAGGTGACAATAGCAGGTTACCCAAGTGAGTGCCGTGGAGGTGACAACCAGTTGGATTCTGGTTATGCCGTGAAGATCTTTTCAGGATCAAACAATACACACGAACTTACTGGTGCATGGGCATAATGATTGATGATATCTGGTAGGGGTTTCAAGGTGACCTTGGGTGAAGAATAATCAAAGCTACACACTGGGTACAATGTACATTACTCAAGTAAGAGGTGCGCTAATATCTCAGACTTCACCACTGTACAATTCATCCATGTAACCAAAAACCACTTGCATTATTGAACAGCTATTGAAATAAAAAATATAAATATATTTCAAAAGTTACCACTCCTTTATGTTTTGGTTTTCGGAAATAAATTTAATTTTGTTTGTTTGTTTTGTTTCTTTTGAGACGGAGTCTTGCTCTGTCGCCCAGGCTAGAGTGCAGTGGCACAATCTCAGCTCACTGCAAACTCTGCTTCCCGGGTTCTAGTGGTTCTAGTCCCTCAGCCTCCTGAGTAGCTGGGATTACAGGCACACATCCCCATATTTGGCTAATTTTTGTATTTTTAGTAGAGATGGGGTTTCGCCATGTTGGCCAGGATAGTCTCAATCTCCTAACCTTGTGATCCGCCCACCTTGGCCTTCCAAAGGGCTGGGATTACAAGGGTGAGCCACTGCACCTGGCCAAAAAAAAATTTTTTTAAAGAATAGTCAAAGCAAAATCAATAGCATCTTTTATCCAGAAAAATAAGAGTGAAGAGCAGAAAAGGTTAACCTCATGAAGCCCTGTGTCCTATGAGTGGAGATTTTAAATAACATATTAGTGTTCACAGTCCAAAAATTAATCCTAATTAAATTTACTCAGATTAGTCATTGTGCTTAGCACCTGTGTTTGAATAACAATGATCCTTTTTCTTTTCTGAATTCAAGTTCGAAAATTATTTTGAATTTTTGCATGCCAATCATTTCCAGAATGCAGAATTGCTTGCAGGACACAGGTATTACTCAGTGGAGTTACAGAGGGCCCAGCAAATAAGAAAGAACAAGCTGTTCCCCTGTTGTTGACTCTACAGCTCTATAGTTTTCCAGAGAGGGAGAAGGGTGGTGTTCAGATTATCATTCATGCTGAAGCTTTTCAAAGATGTCAGCTGCCCACCAAATCATAGGATGAAGGAAAGGGCCTAGGAGAAATACAGTTGCTCTGACTTCCCTTCAATCAACAGCACCAAAGTCATACTGAACACCAGTTTTTAAACACTTTTCTGAAAAAGAATAAGAAACATTTAGCCCTTTGCTACAAAGACCTGGTTGAAGAAAATGCTGTCAGCTCCCCGAGGGCTGGCTCTCTCATCTTGTTCATTTCTGCATCCCTGACGTCCAGCACAGTGCCTGACATACAGCAGGTGCTCAATAAACATTCGTTTGAGTGAATAAACGTTTCAAGAAGCAAATCTTTGACATCACTCTATCCCTTTATGGAATGTCTACTACAAGCGAAGAATAACACAATAGTGGTTTTATAATACTCCTCAGGCCCTGAGGCTAGGCCGATCTAATTTCAGCTCTCACTTTATCACTACTCGCTATAGAGCCCGGGTCAAGTGCTCTCCATCTCTCTATGTCTCAGTTTCCTCATCTGTAACTTCAAATGAATAATGACACCAACCTCCCAGGCTTCTTAAGAGGATTAACAAAGACAACATATGGGAAAAATGTAACATGGTGTCGCATAATTATTAGATCTTATTATTGACACTAAAATTGCATTAAAGTTAGCAAAAGAAAAACAGCATTTTGTAGGCAAACTTCATTTATTTTTTCATTTATTTATTTATTTATTTTTGAGATGGACTCTCTTGTTGTATAGCTGCCCAGGCTGGAGTGCAATGATGGGATCTTGGCTCACTGCAAACTTCGTCTCCCCAGTTCAAGCGATTCTCCTGCCTCAGCCTCCCGAGTAGTTGGGATTATAGGTGTGTGCTGCCACACCCGGTTAATTTTTGTACTTTTAGTACAGATGGGGTTTCACCATGTTGGCAGGACTGGTCTGGAACTCCTGACCTCAAAAGATCCATGCACCTCCGCTTCCAAAGCACCGGGATTACAGGTATGCGCCACTGCGCCCGGCCACATCTTGCAGATAAACTTTTAAAATCTTTTTTCTTTCTTATGAACCATTTTAAATATATGCAAAAGTAGAGTATAATAAACCTGACATGCAGTTTCAACAATTATCAGCTTGTAGACGGTCATCCCCTTTCCCAGCCCTTTGTATTATTTTGAAGCCAATCCCAGACATTATGCCGTTTCATCTGTAATACTCGGATAGGTAGCTCTAAAAAATAATAAAAATAATAGCCAACATTCCATATCACACCTACAAATAATGAATAACGATTCCTTCATTAGGTAAATGGTTGGTCTGCTGGAAGCCACAAGAAGAAAGGAAGAAGAGAATCAAGTCTGTTGAAGGCAGGGGCTTAGGCAAGTTCTCTCCAGACCCAACACGATGGAAATGCCCGCTGTCACTGTCAAGGTGGACTCTCCCTGCTGCGGGGTGGGGCTGAGCTGGGGAAGGGCAGGGAATGAAGCCAACTTTTCGCCCCTAAAAGGAGGCAGAACGGAAATCCCCTGGTGATTAAAACTTTCTTCTTTCCCAAACCAAATGATATTTCATCTGAAACAGTTCTGTACAAATTCCTCTGCTTCCAGAGTGATGGGAAATTGAATTTACTTTTATCTTTTCATCTACCTTGAGGCCTTGTTGACAGCGTTGGCTTTTATGCAGGTTCTGTTACACAATTAGAGCTAATCGAACAGTGACAGGACTGGCTTGGTTTCTGAAATTTAACAGAGCACAAAAGCTCACATTTTGGGGAGAACTCGGTTCTTAAATATGTGGTGCTTATCCCACTTCCCCCTAATTTCCCCTCATTTGTTTGACAAAGTCAGCAACCCAGTGGAAACCTCAGTTTCATTCTCTGCTGCTCTCATCATAAAACCTGGAATTTAAATATTTTCCTTTTATTCTTTGCTGGAACTTGGAGCAATTTGGTTGAGGCAAAATGAGATCTATTGGTATTGAAGCTATTGAACATCAATAGGTCAGACCCAGATTATCACCCCTCATTAAAATGCCAAAGTCAAGTCCAGAAGTCTAGAGCTCAGTGGCATTAGCAGGGAAGTGAATCACAGTGCTGAGAAGGTTGCAAGCTAAGGAGCATGAGGAGGTAAAAAGGGAGCATAAAATGCACTGCATGTCTCTTCTTTCAAAGCAGAAACTACCTTATAAGCACCAAAAACTTCACCTGGAGGAGACACAAGCCTGGCTTCAGAAGTTTGACATAGAACGGAGGCTCTGGGAAACCCGACGTTAGCCTCACAAACATTTCCATGTAGGGCTGGCCTCAGAAAGCATGCGTCGCAACTGCCCTCCAATAACTGAACTTTGTTAAATGACAAATGGTGGTGGCCAGGCCCACTGGGATCTGGTTTCTCAGGAACTCTCTAGATGATAAGCTCTCTTCCAAGACGCTTCGATCAGGAATGAGGTTTTCCCTGCAGGGCCCCAGCTCCACCCAAGGCCAGTCTCAGGTACCCGAGTGTCTAGAAATGTTCACAGGTGCTGAGTCATGGGGTGGGGAGGGAGGGTCTACACTTGAGAACAACTCCTCTGCCCCTGTCTGTATGCGGAAGGCCCACCCTTCCCTCTCTCTTTGAAGACTCTGCCTCCTCCACATCAGCAGCACCCAGCCCTCTCCTTTTAGCGCTTTTATTTCCCCCCACTTCCCCTTCTACATTCTCGTCTTGGTTAATGGTGTGGTGGAGGGTGGGAGGTAAAGTGGCTTTGCAACGCGGCTTCTGAAATTTTTTGTCTCCCATTTAAGAAGGAGAAGAAAGAGACAGAGAAGGTTAGATGGAGAGAAGTCGTAATCCTGCCATAGCTCCTTATTGTCTACTTCCCTTTAGAAGCGAGCATCAAGGCCGGGCGCGGTGGCTCAAGCCTGTAATCCCAGCACTTTGGGAGGCCGAGGCGGGTGGATCACGAGGTCAAGAGATCGAGACCATCCTGGTCAACATGGCGAAACCCCGTCTCTACTAAAAATACAAAAAATTAGTTGGGCATGGTGGCACGTGCCTGTAATCCCAGCTACTCAGGAGGCTGAGGCAGGAGAATTGCCTGAACCCAGGAGGCGGAGGTTGCGGTGAGCCGAGATCGCGCCATTGCACTCCAGCCTGGGTAACAAGAGTGAAACTCCGTCTCAAAAAAAAAAAAAAAAAGAAGCGAGCATCAGAAGGCAGGGCCATGTCTGTCTTACCTGCTGCGGCATCCTTGCTGCTGAGACAATTCCTAGTTACGGTGGGACAACAAATATTTGTTAAATGTTATTGGCTGGGTAGACAGATGGATACTGCTTAGCAGCCATCATTATTTCCTACTAAAGGAGCTATTCTACCAAGAACTTGAAAGAGACTATACAAGAGAAAATAGAAGCCAGTATACATTTCCCCTTTTGATTTAAAGAGCCTTTCTTTTTAACAACAACAACAAAACCTTTATGACTTGTGGAAGCCAAAGCAACTCCCTCTTAGATGTTAATCTGCCATGCTGACTTCTGATTAATCCCTGTTCCAGGAGACTTCTAAGATTTTTTATCTATTCTTCCTGCATGGTCATAAGTTCTGCCTGCAGTTCAAAACGACCTCGATGTTATTGTACTTCATTTGTCACCCACATCCCTTCTGGATCACGCATGCCCTTTCCCCGTAGTATATCAGCCCTGGCTCTACAGGGTATTGGGGTGAGGATCCATCGTCTTGTCTGGCCACTGTCCAGGACACACACATGGCTGTTCATGAGTCCCTGTTGCTTTCTGAGAAACTGGATATGTCAGCCTCTTTCTTTGGCCTCTCAGCTTCCTTGGATTTTAAGAGTAGGTTTGCACAGACCAGCTCACCATGGAACATGACTTTTTTGTGCTTTCATGTGTCATTTTAGTACCTCTAAACACATGTAGTAAGAAACAAATGGTAAGAAGAATGATACAGATGACCCGGTTCAATCAGATTTCAAAGACAATGTGAAAAAGATCTAATGTAGTTCAAAAGGAGTGTCTTCCCCACTCATCTTTTTAAGGAATCATGTGGTTTGACAGGCTCAAAATCTTTTTCCAGCTCACTGGAGACTGGGTGTGAAAATGGAAGAGGAAGAGGGATTAGCTAAACAGAGCCCAGGACCACCATGGAGTGGGGAAGGCTGAAGAGTACGGCAGGGAGCCCCAGGGAGAGCCAGAGGCAGCCGGAGGGTATAGGGCATAGCAGGGAGATTAACTGGGGAGCTACCAAAACGGGAGGAAAAGGAAGAATCAATGAGAGACCCCTCTTACATTGAATCACTGCCAGGGGGCCCTGATAGCTGCAACTGCCAAGCATATTACTGAAAATCACCCTGGCAACCAATTCCTCGTCCTTGGCAGCCTCTCCGCTTCCTGGGGCCAGATTCCCTTAAGGACCCATGAGTCTTTTCATTCACCCACCTGCTTGCCTTGCACAATCCCTGCACTGCCCTGCCCTTCGGGTCTGCCCATCCTCAGTGTCTTGCCTTTCCACAGCTAATGAAGTCCCAACAAAAAACAAGCTTCCCAATAAAAACGAGCTTCCGCATAAAAGTGACAGCAAATGTTTTTCGAAGTGGTTTTTATACTTTCATAATTCTCCTAAAATAAAATAATATAATGTAGTATTGAAATAAAACTGTAGTTGCTTCACGGAACCATCTGCCTTTGGTTAAACCAGGAGCGATGGTCTGCTTGTGGATTTATAGTTTCCTCTTTGGTCCCGAGCTGCCTCTCGTTAAAGGGAACACTGGTTGCCTGAACAGTCGTACTTGCAACCATGATGCCTAAACATTGCTTTCTAGGCTTCCTCGTCAGTTTCTTCCTGACTGGTGTAGCAGGTAAGTGCTTTGTTTCTTTTTAACTGCTCATAGCTTTGTCATCTGAGTCCGATCAAGGATCTGTTAGAAATGGCACTCGTGCTTTTTTGGACTTTATAAAGGCTGCAGCTTTTGATGTCACAAAATGACCAGAACAGGCATGGAGTTAGTGTCTATCTGCAGCTTGAAAGATCCCACATGTGCTTAGTGGGTACCCACTAAAGAAAAGGCACTCTAGAGGGTGCAGAGACTTCATACAGAACAAATGTATATGTCTCTCTCTCTCTCTCTCTCTCTCTCTCTCTCTCTTTATGGCTCTCACTCACTTTAGAACATCTTTTACCTTGAAGGAACACTATATCATGGTGGCTCCTAAGCCAAATTGTCATAGTCTGGACTTCAGCTCTGCCATTTTACCATATAGGAGAACTTGGGAAATTTACTTAACACCCCTGTGCCTCAATTTCCTCAACAGCAGAATGGGGATTCTAGGTCACTGTGAAGGTTAAATGAATTAATATATGCCAAGTGCTTAAAGAAGTGCTTAGCCCAGAATAGGGACCACAAACAACATGTGAGAATTCACTTCTGGTATTCTTGGAGGAAACTTCAGGCGTGTAGAGCATCTTATCACCACCGCATACTTCTAAGCAAGCATAAGAATCCAAATTCATAATCGGGTACCTCTCAGTGTAAGCTACTCAAGTAACTTGCCAAGATGGTACAGTTGGCCGGTGACTAATACATAAAAGCAATTCCAGCCTTCATCTTCCAGAAATGTTTGGAATTGAGAAGACTATGCCTCTGGTCCTTGGTAACAGCAAGGACTCATTTAGCAAAATATGGCAAGAATTCAAATGCTACCGAAATGCTCCCGGCTCTGTGTCTTACCAAGCCTGTAACCTTGAGTAAGAGATGCAATTTTTTAAAGCCTCCGCTTCCTCATCTGTAAAATGCAATAATAAAAATACCTTGCTTGGCGGCTGTAGGAATTAAGTTGTAAAGCTTTGAACATGGTACTTAATATAAGTTAATGTTCATATATGTTTGATGTTTGATGAATGTCAGCAAGAACAAGGAGGAGGAGGGAAGAAGGAAGAAGATAAAGTATACCCTCAGCTTCTAATTGGTCAGCCTCTTTCATTGGCTCCTCTCTCCCATGGCTTTGCTCTTGGTTTTCTGTTGGAGGAGAGAGGCAGGCTCTGCAGCCAGACTGTCTGGGGGACAAGATTGGCTTCACCATTGGCGGCCTGGAAAGCTCCTTCAGGTCTCCCAGGCTTGGTTTTTTCAGTCTGTAAGAGGAAGACCATGATGCACAGTATCTTCCTCGTAGAAGAGCTGGGCGAATTAAATGCACTGATGCAGATAAAGTCACTCAGTGCCTGGTGAAGAGCGAATTGTTCTTGCTGTTAGTGGTAGCAGTGATGTTACAAAAATGAGAGAAGCAATCCATAGACAGAGAGATAAAGGGCATTAAGCCATCTTTCTTCATGTGAGCACATCAATGCTAGGCAGGCCTTCAGGAAATGGTGCCTGTCATCTCCTGAAAATTCCTGGAATTTTTAGGTTCTAAAGATCATCAGTCAGGTAGTGATTTTTGTGAGCAAAATCAATTGTGGTTGTAGACTCTTTCCAAGTACACAACACCGTCTGATGCACTGAAGGTGGTCCAAAAAATACAAGTGAAAACCAATTTAAAAACAAATAACAGGATTCACACTGTTTGGTTGGTAAGAATAAAGGCCCAAGGAAATAGCCTTGTTCATTTCAAAATAACAAATCTTGAAAGTTCAGAGATGAGACCATGGGTTTGGGAGTATTTTTTCACCATGTCAATAAGGTGATACATTTAAGCAAAGACTTGAAGGAGGTGGAGAAATGAGCCACATGAAATCCAGGGGGAGAGTAGACCAGGAAAAGGGAAGGGCCAGTGTGGAGGCGGGGTCACCGGGGGCATGCTGGAGCCAGTGAAGGAGTCAATGCTGCAAACACAAGGGGTCGGGGTGACAGAAGATGAGGTCAGGGAGGAAACACAAGATACGCCTCCTGACTCCTCCTTCTGCCCAACTTCCTATCCCTTCGAAGAAACCTTGAACCCTAAATCAAATTTTCCTCGAAGTTCTCTTGCCTCTGTGTAAAAAAAGGCAAGTGAGGTTGTCCCATCTATGTCGCATGATTTGAGGAAGAAAGCACAAGTCATGCCAGTGCCAAATTATCCCGTCTCCTGCCACAAGTAGTCTCAGAAACACTAGGTCCCCAGCAGGGTCTTGGGCAGTTTTCCTCATTAGCATAGCTATTTCATCTGAGGATTATGCTTGGAGACTCGGAGCCAGGACGCAGGCAGGTAAATACAGCCATTCAGGAGTGGGGCAGTGAGGGCAGACCTGCCTGGAAGCAGGACCCAGAGACTGAGCAAGAACCTGAGAAAGGAGGGACTGAGGGCTGGGCTGAGGGCCCGGAGCCAGAATTGGTCCCTAGCAAATTTTGCTTGCGTAATGCTAATACAGAGGTTCCTAAGAAGGTGATTGGTGGTCTTAGTGTGGGTCCTTCCTCTCAGTCATTATATTCCATCACTATTTGGGAATCAAATAAGAACGATATTTTTTCACTGCAATTTACTTTCCCTACAGCTTGGGAAATAGGGTGGGAAGATATCATGTACATGTTTAGGATCTGGAACTCATCATTCTGAGACTTTAGCGTGCCTCAAAATCATTGCATTGGAGATTCAAAATGTTGATTTCTGGGCTCCACCTCCGCTCTCTGTGCTTAGAGCAACTACTTTAGGGAACCCTGCTGCGGATATTCCATTGGAAACTACCCGCTGGGAACAACGGTACTCCAAACAATGTTCAATGTTCTTCCTTCTGTTATCTTAGGCACTCAGCCAGCCCATGAGTCTCTGAAGCCTCAGAGGGTACGATTTCAGTCCCGAAATTTTCACAACATTTTGCAATGGCAGCCCGGGAGGGCACTTACCGGCAACAGCAGTGTGTATTTTGTGCAGTACAAAATGTAAGTAAATTGAGCTTCCCTCAGCTGATAGAGACAGCACTGGGATAACATGTTCTAGAATGCAATGGAGTGTTAGGATCCGAGCTTTTTCTCAGTTTCAGAGAGGTTAAGAAGCCAAGGTTGGGATAGCAATGACTTGTCTCCCCTGAAGGTTGCCTGGGGACTCAAAACGCATGATGGTGTGCGGTGCATTGGGCAGTTACTTCAGCCCTAGACCTGCACCAAGACCTCACAGGTTCAGCCTTTGCCTCCATAGTGGAGCCTGGCACATGGTGGGTTCTCAATAGATTTGTCAAGCAAATGTTGGAAGCAGTTTATTTAGCACGTACCAAGTACTCAATGAGTGAAACTATCACTAGTTGAGAAAGAAGCTAAGTTGTGGCAAACGTGGAGGGGAATGTGTAAAACAAGTTTTTAATTTAAAAGTCACTTTCAGAGTGGATTTACTGTTTAGAAAATTGTTATCCAACACTAATGACTCCTGTAAGCATGAGCACAAACCGGAGCACGCTGCTGCATGTTCCTGGCGCGTCGTCTTCAGGCTACTCCTGCTGGATCGTTGCCAAAGCTCAGATACAATCTACTCCTTCCCTGGCTCAGGGCCTGGAAACAAACACATCTGATTTGAAAGTGGCAGGTTTTCCCACTCTTAGGTTTCTGGGGGGTGAGAGGAGTTGAGGCTCTTCCTTCTCTGACGGTGAGACAGGAGATATTACAGTTTAGCTTTCATGTTTTTTCACAAGAAATTCAGAAAATCAAATGCAGCTATGGGCCAAAATAGCATTTTTTTTTTTGCCCCGTAAATTTATCCATGTCTCTCCAATATGGAGCAGGTCCTGGGTCGGATTCTTTGCTAATTAATTGCAGAAGGACTATCCCCAGAAGCATCTCCATCTTTAACTGCTGCTACTTCTCTCTACATAAATCCCTCACATTTATTTTATGTGGGGATTGCAAAATTATCAGATCTTTACAGTGAACATTTCTCCATTACAAAAGTAGATTTGTGCATCGCTGGAGATACTTTCAGCATGTCAGAAGTAGAGATTAGTACCCTTTTTATAATTCCCCTGAAGCAGTATAAATAGGTCAAAAGTGGACCTATTTGCGGTCTTAAGTACTGAGAAGATTAGAAACTGTATTACCAGGAATCTAATGAAGATTAAACTTCAGGACTCCATGGAGGATTTTATATTTATAAGTCTTTTCTTAAAGAGGACTCCAAAGCTGCTATGGTTTGAGTTTGTCTCCACCAAGACTCACGTTGAAATTTAATCCCAGTGTGGTGGTGTCGGAAGTGGGTCATGGGGATGGAGCCCTCATGAAAGGCTTGATATCATTCTTGCTGAAGTTGAGTGAGTTGTCACTCTTGCAAGACTGAATTAGTTCTCATGCAATGCTTCTATGAGAAAGGGCTGTGGCAAAGCCAAGATGCCCCTTGAGTGTTGCCTCTGCCAAGATCTGTTTTTCCCAGTGACCTTCTCCACCATGTTCTCATGCAGCATGAGAAGCTCTCACCAGAAGCCAGGTGGATGCTGGCACCACACTTCTTGTAACTTCCTAGGCTGCAGAACCTGAGCTAAGTAAACCTCTCTTCCTTATACATTACCTAGCCTCAGGTGTTCTGTTATGGAAACACTTAATGGACTAAGATTATATAAATTTCAGACTTCAGAATACCTGAATCCATTCCTGTCTCTAAGGGATTTTCAACAGCAGAAGGTAAATTTAGAATTTTGAAAACTTTCACTTTAGGGTACCCGGTTCATAAGTTATACTGTTATATCCCTCACATTTAGAATAGGACGAACAATGAGATGTTATATTAAAAAGAAGCCAGTCATTACGGCTAAGTTAAAGACTTATTATAAATAAATAAATAATACTTTTAAAACATCAAATTATGTTCGGTACATGTTGTGGTTCTGCTTTGTGATAGAATGAAACTGCTGTCAACATGTAGATGACTGAGGACAGATACTGTCAGTCTTCCTTATTATTTGTGGAGAAAGTTAGATTTCAAGTCTTTCCCTAAATATTTTGAAAAATCTTTCTCCCCAGCCTCCAATTCCCTCTTCGTTCCCCACCACTTTTTGCAGTGGTCGGATTCACTGCTGGTAAGGAAGCGAAGAGTGAATCTTCTCTTTGGCTGTTACAACACCTGGTGGCCTCAGGCTGCGTCAACCTCTCTGCCTTTTGCCTCATTACCTTTTTTCAGGGGTTTCCCTCCCCCTCTCCCAACCCCTGATTACAGGGCTCCACATATAGTCCTCACTACAAGTTCCCATCAGTTTTCAATAAACAGATTAATCGTATATTTGGGTAGGCAACACCTGGGATGGAAAGTGGTAGCAGCTTCTCAGAAGCAGCCACATTATTCAACAGCATGCTGAGGAGAAGTGGAGAAAAACCACAAACAGCCAAAACCTCAGAAGCGTTAAGGATGTGGAGAGTGACTATTCGAAAATGGCAGTCAGCCCACATTCCAGAAAGAACATTTTGCCGAGTATTAACAAATAAAATAAAACCCTATGTTAGTGATACAGGAGGTGTCCGGGATGTTTATCTTCCAGCAAGACAGCACTTTAGTTAATGCTGTGGTTTCTATGTGTCCCTCAAAAGTTTATGTGTTAGAAACTTGATCCCCAATGCAGCAATGTTGAGAGGTGGGACTTTGAGGAGATGATTGGGTCATGAGGATCCTGCCCCCATGAATGGATTCATCCATTGATGGATTAACGAATTAATGTGTAATTGAGGAAGTGGGCTAGTTATCACAAAAATGAGTCTGTTATTTAAAAAAAAAAGCCATCTCTCTTGAACCCTTGTGATGTCCTGTGCCACCTTAAGTCTCCGCAGAGAGGCCCCATCAGGAAGAAGGTCCTCACCAGATATGGCTCTTAAACATTAGACTTCCTAGCCTCCAAAACTCTAAGAAATAAATTCCTTTTCTTTATAAATTACCCAGTCTCAGATATTCAGTTATTGCAACAGACAATGGACTGAGACAGTTAATAAGAAGGAATATTTTTAAAGATTCTGAAGAGCAGCCATATGCTTTCATGGTGGTATTGATACGAGAATCAGGTATAAAGAATAATTCGTCTGAAAATACTGAAGACTCCTTGAGTGGAGAAAAGAAACTCAGATCTTTGCCCTTTCCCTGCTACAGGTATGGACAGAGACAATGGAAAAATAAAGAGGACTGTTGGGGTATTCAAGAACTCTTTTGTGACCTTACCAATGAAACCTCAGACATACAGGAACCTTATTACGGGAGAGTGAAGGCGGCCTCAGCTGGGAGCTACTCAGACTGGAGCCTGACGCCACGGTTCACTCCCTGGTGGGAAAGTGAGTTCCATGGAGTTTCTTTGCCCTTGTTCTTCCTGCTTTTGGACAGCCCTCCCGGAGCATGGCTAGAGACCACCTGGCCTTGTGCTTTGCTGAGGTCTACATCATTATCTCCATTTGGTCTAATTCTCAGAACAACTCTAGGAGATAGCTTTTATTATCCTAATTTTCCAGTCCAGAACATCAAGATCAAATCTCATGGCCAGTATTATCCAAGTCAGGGTTCAGAGTTGCTGCTCTGAATGCAGAGCCTCCACTCCATCAATTTGTTGGTCTCTCTCTCTCTCTGTGTGTGTGTGTGTGTGTGTGTGTGTGTGTGTGTGTGTGTGTGTCTCCTTTTGTCATTCAGGCTGGAGTGCAGTGACACAATCTCGGCTTACAACCTCCACCTCCAGGGTTCAAGCGATTCTCCAGCCTCAACCTCCCGAGTACCTAGGATTACAAGCGTGTGCCACCACGCCTGGCTAATTTGTGTATTTTTAGTAGAGATGGGGTTTCACCATGTTGGCCAGGCTGGTCTCAAACTCCTGACGTCATGCGATCCACCCTCCTTGGCCTCCCAAAGTGCTGGGACTACAGGTGTGAGCCACCACACCCAGCCCTCCCAAAAGTATTTTTAAACAGCAGAATTCGTCATAGTGCCCTAGTCCTTTCCCAAATATGAGGGTTAAGTTCTTGAAAATACCCATATTAGAAGAATTTTCTGTTGAGGAAATTAAAACTTTTAGTCACTTCCCCAAAAAGGCAGAGCAAAAGTGCTCTCAGTATCCATCCTGAATGATAGTTATTCCTCATCTGATTTAGTCCCAATCATAGAATAATATAATCTAAGATGTAGGTGATAAAATTAACCATTACCAACAGACCCTGTATAAAATAGTAGAGAAAAGAAAGAGAGAGAAGGAGTTTTTTTTGTTTTGTTTTGTTTTTTTTTTTTTTTTGAGAGACAGTGTTTTGCTCTTGTTACCCAGGCTGGAGTGCAATGGCGTGATCTCGGCTCACCGCAACCTCCGCCTCCTGAGTTCAGGCAATTCTCCTGCCTCAGCCTCCCAAGTAGCTGGAATTACAGGCACGCGCCACCATGCCCAGCTAATTTTTTGTATTTTTAGTAGAGACGGGGTTTCACCATGTTGACCAGGATGGTCCCGATCTCTTGACCTCGTGATCCACCCGCCTCAGCCTCCCAAAGTGCTGGGATTACAGGCTTGAGCCACCGCGCCCGGCGGGTTTAATGTATAGGTATAAAGATGTGCATAAACAGAACAGGAAAGAAAATTAAGATATTTACCACAGTCCTCATAACTGCAACCCGTCACAAAGCCGTAATTAATATTTATAACTTCTTCCCTCATTATAAACTCAACATTCACTTTCTTTTCAGCCAGCACGTCAGCTCTTTATCCATGAGGAGTCTGAGTCCTTTTGGTGTTTTGTGTCACAGCTTGACCTAACCTTACATTAATTTTTATCACCGAATAGAGAAGCTCTAAGAGGGGCACCTGAGGCTTCCAAGAATTCTTCCACCTGAGCCCATTGTATTTATAACTGTATTGTGCCTTGCCAATCAGAATGAATCACCCCAGACAATATAAGAATCTCATTTTCTTTTTGCTGGTTAAATGGCACGAGGAGCTCCCAAGGATCAGGAGAGACCCTCAACTTCCAGTTTTTGGAAACCACTTCTGTTATAAACCAGAATTCAAGGCCAAGTACATGGGAAACAAAAACGTGTCATGAGTTGTTCACTATGAGTAACAGTGACAGTTGCTCCTCTCGCTTCCAATTCTGATATCCTAGGCCAGTAAATTCTGTCCGTGGGAGAAACCACACCATGTATTGGCCACAGGCTTAGTGAAGCATTTACCAATTGGAGCATTTACCAATTCATACACCACTTCACAAGATGTCTCTCAAGCTGAGTTTTCAATTATCCATTTCACCTTCCTATAAAGTCATGGATTTCTGCGTGACAAACATATGATAAGGCCCAATATTCCTGTGGGTCTAAGAGCTTTCTTCACTCCTTTCACATTAAGTTCTGTTTCATAAACAATGTATGGTGCAGTACTATGCTCACGAATAAGGCATTGACTACATCTGTGGGCGGGTGTGGTCCCAGGAGTGGTCAGGGTCTGCTGATAAAAGCATTGAAACAGTACATACAAATCTATAAACAGAATCTGTAACCAGAATCTACACCCAGCAGTAAAAAAAAAAAAAAAAAAAAAAAAAAAAAAAAAAAAAAACAACTATAACCCATGTCTCTTGTTCCCTTCCTCCCTTTTGGAAGGGAACGAAAATAAACCTACCTGCCATGAGATGGCAGACGAGGGCCCCTAAAATATGGCACTATACTAGGGGTTCGACATTGATCTTCACTATTGGAAAGTTAGACACTTGGCAGTGTCAGACCAACCTTGGTAAGAGGAGCTCCGTACTGTTAAGTCTATATATAACCTCCATCGTGCAACTGACTTGTTGAGGAGTCCACAGAGCAACTATAGGACACTGGGGCAATAGACTGTCACTGCATCCACTGAAATTTTTTTTTAACTGCCTTATTGAGGTATAATTCACACAGCTTATACTTTAAACAGATAGCATACCGTTTAATGATTTTTACTATATTCACAAATATGCGTAACCATTCCTCACAATTTTAGAACATTTTTATCACCTCAAAAAGCAAGTCCATACCCTTTGCCTATCACCTTCTAGTCCTGCCATTCCCCTAGCCCGCAGCCCTGGTAACTGCTAATCTTTCTGTCTCTACAGTGTTCCCTGTTCTAAATAGACTTATGTAATACATGATGTTTTGTGTCTGGCTTCTTTCACTTAACATGTTTTCAAGGTTCATTCAGGTTTTAGTACATATCAGTACTTTATTCCTTTTTGTGGCCAAATAAGAATCCATTATATGGATATACCACATATTATTTATCTATTTCCCAGTTGATAGACATTTAGAAGTTCCCACCTTTTGGCTACTATGAATAATGCTGCTATAAATAATCATGTAAAAATTTTTATGTTTTTCTTTGTTTGTTTTTTGAGAGACAAGATCCTGCTCTGTCACCTAGGCGGTAGTATAGTGGCACAATCATAGCTCACTTCAGTCTTGATCTCCTGGGCTCCAGCAATCCCTCCACCTCAGCCTCCCAAGTAGCAAGGACTATCGAGCATGTGCCACCATGCATGACTGGAAATGCATTTTTATTTCTCTTTGATATATATACCTAGGAATGGAATGGCTGAGTCTCGTGGTAACTCTATGTTTAGTCATTTGTGGAAATGCCAGACTGCTTTCAAAGCATCTGCACTATTTTACATTAAGGAGTATATAAGGGTTCTTATTTTTCCACGTTTTTACCAATCTTTTTTTTTATTATAGCTATCCTAATGGGTATAAAGTGGTATCTCATGTGTTTTTTATTTGCATTTCCCTGCTAATGAATGATGTTGAGCTTCTTTTTTATGCTTATTGGCTATTTTGTACCTTCCTTTGGAGAGTTGTCCATTGAGATCCTTTGCCCATTTGAAAAATTTAATTATATCTTTTAATTTTTGAGTTGTAAGAGTTCTTTATATATTCTGCAGACTGATGCCTTATCAGATATGTGATTTTCAAATAGTTTCTCCTGTTCTGTGGATTGTCTTTTTACTTTCTTGATGGTATCATTTGATACCAAGTTTTACACTTTGATAAAATCCATTTTATCTATTTCTTCTTTTGGTGCTTGTGCTTTTGGTGTCATATCTAAGAATCCTTTGCCAAGTCCCAAATCATGAAGATTTACCCTGTATTTTCTTCTAAGAGTTTAAAGCTTTTATCTCTTACATTTAAGTCTGATTCATTTTGAGTTAATTTTTGTATCTGGTATGAGGTAAGGGTCCGGTATTATTTTTTGACATATGACTGTCCAGTTGCCCCAGCACCGTTTGTTGAAAATCAATAGACCATAGAAGTGTGATTTATTCCAGACTTTCAATTCTATTTCATTGATCTATACATTTATTATTGTGCCCATACCACACTGTTTTGATTATTGTTGCTTTGTAGTAAGTTTTGAAATTGGAAAGGGTGAGCACTCCTCTTTGTTCATCTTTTCCGAGGTTGTTTTGACTATTATGGGTTCCTTGCAATTCTCTAACCACCTAGATTTTTTAAGATCTCCTTTCAAAGCAAAGTGTGAGCCCTTTGCTCCCTTTGCTTTGCATTCATATGACCACAGAAATATTCACATTCAGTATCTTAATACTTAAGAATCCATCCATAGACCTCTTCTAACTGGTGCAAAGTCCAATTAGATCCAAGTTAATTAGAGCATGTACAAAATGCCATTGAACTCAGAAAAAGGCATTGTCCCCCAACTCTCTAATTAGCAGGAGGTGGAACACACTTGAGGAAACTAATTCATGGTAACTCTCAACATTGTTTGTTGGATAAATTGAAATTCAAGGTCAATGCACTCAACTAGCAATTCTCTAGCTGAGGAAAAGGAAATTTCATGACTAAACTGATGAACACCAGTGGGGGAATTTCACAGATCCGTTTGATTCTTATCTTCAAGCTTAGAAATAGGGTCACATTCCGATTTACTTGTCAAACGAAGCCCTCTCCAGTCCGTGCCATTAAGCCAGCCAGGTATGAATAGCCAAAGACATTGGCTGACGCTGCTTTAGCTCAATTCCATTTAAATTGGGATAGTGTTAAGAAGGGTTTGTGCGTTCTCTGTATGACCGTTCTCCCTAAAAAAGAATCAGAAAAGAGAAGAAAAAGCTTTAGACCAGGTCCTTTATAAAGCCATTTTATTTTATTGCAGGGCCTCTTAGTAGAAGAAGAAGAAACCCAGTCTATAAATAGCTGCTACTCTTGTTGATGCAATAGTGAGGGGAGCCATCCACTCAGCTGCCTCATCATCCCCAGCTTTGCATCCTCTTACCACAGCTCCTAAGGCTTTCTGAAGAACATATTTCAAACAACATGTTTCTACTCCTCA